TAGTACGTAACATTAAGGAGGCTCTATTGGCAGAAATGGAATATAATAGTATGCTTTCATTAGTGTATAATCACCTGAATATAAGAATAGTTTATTTATTTATAGTTTGTTTTCGTTACCTTAGAATGAGCTGTTTTTATCCGGGGGGGGTTCTCTTCTATGGAGTCCATCATGTTGAACTGCCATGCTTCTACAGTAGCCTAGAACAGACAAACCAAACACTGGCTCTAGATAGTGCCTATCATGTTTTCTTGAGGTTTGCAGCCCCCGTAGTTTCTCCTACATGTTTAAAACACAACAGTGAGGCGAGGGGGTTGCAGTCTGCAATCTACACCACTAGATGCCACACTGGTCCTTTAAAACAACAGTTCGACATTTTGGGAAACAATGTCTAATTCTATTGTCAAGAATTAGATAACAAGAAATTCATACCACTCTCATGTCTGTGCAATAAATGTGAAGTTGTTGTCAACAGCCGATTAGCACAGCTTAGCATAAAGACTGGGAACGTGGGGAAACAGCTAGCTTTGCTCTGTCCAAAGGTAACAAAGTCCATCTACCAATCCTCACTAACAAGTTATCTCCAAGTGTAAAAACGACTATTTGCCTATTTTGTTAGCTTAAGGCAAGGTTAGGCTAGCACCATCATTTCTAGTTTTTGTGGTAAGCTAAGCTAACCAGCTGCTGGCTCTACCTATACGTTTAGCATACAAACAGTATAGGTCTTATAAGTCGGTCTTCTCATCCAATTCTTAGCAAGAAAGTGAAATGTTAAATTATTCCAGTAAACATTGTGGTTGCTCTGAAATCACCTAACTGTCTGCAATATTTCAAACCAGGAAATCTTTTGAGACTTCTTTTCAAAAGGTCTGAACCGGTTATTTCAAACTAATAACAGTTTGCCAGTCTGCTCCTTTTAGCGAGACGCCTATAGATTAATGAGGTCTGACATCATGGATAGATCCCATGGCTCCCATGGTTTTTCACCTCTGGTGCTGAGCTGAAATATGTCCTCTGGCACTGAGTGGCCATCTGTGGCCTCTCAATTCTCTAATACAGTAGAAACAGCCATTTAGTCTCTGAATAAGGATGGACATGAAAGCAGTTGTAACAGCCCCGGAGCCAGTATCCTCTGCCTTGTAGATCCCTGCTGAATTCATCCTACAGGCAGAGGGAGATTGCTGTCAAGAAAAGAGGAGATATGGTAAGAGATGAGGATAAAGAATGTTGTGGATGAGAACTACGGAAATATGGAGTCTGTCTCATATTCTGTGTCCATTTTCTAGGCCTCTCATCTGGTTGTATTTTTCAGAGAGGACTGGTAAAGAAAAGACGAAAACACCTGGAGATAATAAAATATAAGTCAAGGTAAAAAAAAAAAAAACTGCCTCTGACCAAGAGAAGAAAACATGAACTCATGATATAGGCCTTTATTCCAATAGTGGCTGTTTTGAACCTTGTGAAAATAATCACTTATATATTATATGAAAGGATCAGCTGTGAAGTAGCTACATTTAAAAATGTATATATAGTTTTAAAGGAAAATGGCTTTCCTGTCAAAATGGCTGCTGTGAAAAAAGGTCCATTGATACCTCACTCATATTTGTCCGTTAAGCGTAAGGGTAAAGCCAGGAGATTGTTTGGTTTAGGACTGAAAAAAACTCGCTCTACAATTTGTTATTTTTGCACTAGTTTTTGTATGGATTAAACAAACACAGATATAACATACTCATTTATGAGTTTTAGAGGTGCTGATAAGCAGATGTTTTACCATTGGACAGAGTTTGTTTCCCCTGTTTCCAATCTATGCTGACTAAACTAAAATAATTCCCAGCTGCTTCTAGTTCCATACAGTAGACTAGCGCACACACATATGAAACTGGTATCAATCTTTTCATCTAACGCTCAGCAATAAATCAAAGTAAGTTAATCCAGCTTTCTGTAGCTCCAAACATAAAAGTTTGAGTTGTTTGTTACGTCGCCTACTAGAACCTAGTCTAAAGTAGCTAGATAGCTTACTTCCTTTCAAACTCCGAGTATTCATTGTTGGTGCAGCTAATACTGTGAACTCATTTCGTTGTCACTTATGTTTTGAAGTATCGTTCGTATCTGACAGTTATGAGTGGCGCCAGTTCAAAATGGCCACAGAATGACAGGATGATGAAACCACTGTCTCTCAGTCCGATGCTGGTTCTTCACATCAGATCCATGGACAGTTGCCCATTAGAAAACACAAAGGGTGTTCCAACAAAACGTGGATGCTCTCAAAAGCTCCATGAGGCCAGGTGATATTGGTTAAAAATGGAGCCATTTGCATTTGTGAGCAGCTGCCCCTGAGCACAGAGGAAGATTGCAAACAGAGCCGATCGGTGGTGGCTGGGGAGGCTCTTTGATTGTTGATAGAGCTTATTGTCTGTCAGTCAGCACCTTACAAACTGAGCTGTCCACAGCTCTGTATTTCAGGCTGTCCCATGGTGCTCTTCTCATGAATGAAAATCTCACTGTGATTCAGTTTGGAAAGTGACAACTCAGGGATGATAGTAGGAAGTGAAAGCAGCAGTCAGCGGTTTGCAATCTCACTGATTTGGCGTATATAACTTGTTATAAGTGATCAAATTTTATTTTCAGGTGAAAAGTTTAACTGCAGTTGACAAAATCGCATCTCAAGGTCCATTCAGTGGTTGTTCTAGAGCTTTGGGTCATATCACATGGTCTTCCTCAGCCAATAGATCCTCTTAATGTCACACACTGGGATTCCAGTGACAAAGCTAAAGGCTGGGCCTCAGTGATTACTGTAAACACAACTTTATCACTGATTTGGGTGAAACTGGATCATATTTTTTGGGGGAAAATATTTGATGTTTTTTCCTCTTATTTCCTCTGACTGCTCTGCCTCAACTGCTGCTGTAGATACCGTTAGCGTGCTACAGAACAAAACCAGACAGAAGGAGGACAGTTTGACAACAGTGGTACAGAGGTAATTCCTGGACTTTCCCAATACACTTGCTAAAGTAGCAAACTGCTACTAACTGTAATGGTAGACCCCGTTCGGCTCAGTGTACATTACTCAGCCCCTGGTTTCCAGGAGCTAAACCTGACAAGAAAACTGAGTCGGTACTGTATTCCCTGTCATCAAACTGATCGAACACGACCTCAGACGCTGTATTTGGTCCCACTCTGTCCGTGCTGTTCAACAGAGTGAGCTAATAGGACTGCTAACACTCATTCAGCATTATTGGCTATTACAACAACTGCCTTCCTAGCTGCCTGTTTCTACAGGAAAAAACTCAAATATACAATTGTAAATAGTCTTCTGCTTTCCATTTCATGGTGATTAAAAAACCCCCCGGTTGTCATCACAGTTTAATTCTCTGACTAGTGCACAGAGGTACATGACATTGTTTTTATCCCACTGAGCCCCGCCCACTTCAAATCAGTAAGAAAAGTGAGGAGGAAAAAAAGCTTGCTGTGTAGGGACTTGGCTTGGGAACCGGAGGGTCTCCGGTTCAAATCCCACAGACCACAATATGGAGTGTGGACTGGCTCCTGTGCACTGCCGAGGTGCCCTTGAGCAAGGCAACCTAACCCCAAGGAACTGCTAACGTGGCAAGCCCATCACTCCACCATCTCTCTCCCTGTTGCATGTCCACAAATGTGTGTGTGTGTGTGTGTGTGTGTGTGTGTGTGTGTGTGTGTGTGTGTGTAAGAATAAAAAAGAGTGAAAAGAAGAATTTCCCCAATAGGGGATTAATAAAGTATATATCTTCATCTTCTAAACAGATCAAAGCTTTGAATAAAATCTTCACTCATACAGAATCCCATTGCTCTTACTTTAAAACTGAGTGAAAAAATTGTTTTTCAGGGCCTTTAATGTCACATCCTGCACTAAGACATGTAGCTTACTAAAGTAGGGAATACTTAGCTTGAAATAAAAATCTTGATCTCGTAGCTTATATTTGGACAGATTTTTGATATTTAACTGACACTGCCATTTAATATTGGGCCTGTCACTTGCGGAAAAAAGACAGTTATGTGGAAAATTCTCCATTGAATCTGATAAGTGTATTATTAGATGCTTGTTCATTTGCAATTAAAGGAATTGTGGCTCCATGTCAGTCTGGGAGGTTGTGAGATGAAATGGCGAGCATCCGTAACTGGATAACCTGATAGATGGTGTTCACACTCTCATCTTCTCACAAGTGCTCACTTTAATTAAGGTTTGCAGGGATGAGGACAGCACTGATGATATGTGAGCTGCTCCCCGGCGCTTCGCTCTGCTGATCCCTTCGCTCCTATCAGGCATCAAGCATCTCCTGTTTGTCTCCTGTTTGCCATAACATACATGTACCTTGAATTAACCAGGCTTGAAAACATGTTATCGTCAGAAATGCAGAATGTGAAACGTAAAGCAAATGATATAGAGGTCAAAATGGAAAAGCCATCTAATTAAAAATAACGTGTTAAATTGAGTCTAATTCCAATATGATTTTTTTGATTAAAAATAATTACAACCTCTCTGCTTCTCTTGATCCATGACATTGAAGTAATTATGGGCTTATGTTCCAAAGCAGGTGGAAAGTACATTTCCATACACATTCGAGGTACTTTACTCAAGTATTTCCATTGCCTTCCACTTTACTCTACAATTCAGAGAGGAGTATTGTATTTTTACTCCACTACATTTATTTAACAATTCAAGTTATTTTACACATTTGGATTTCACATACAAAACATATTTGAGGTTCAAATACTTCATCATAGTCAAAAGTTATCATCTGTGCAGTTAATGCTTCCTGTTCTTTTATCCAGAATTATTATTTGCAAAGAAACTTAACCCAAACTAAACTGAAGGGGATAATCTCCGTGGAAAAAAATGTCTGTTTAAATGTAATTTGATATATGGGAAACGACCGTTTAACTCCTCATCACTTGAAGGTCCCACAAAGCAGCATACATGAGGTCATGATCTCCTGTTTGACTGACAAGTGAGTGAAACACAACACTGCATGCGGATGAGGAAGTGCATCTTGTCAGCTTTCCCCGGTGACGCTGCAGCCTGAATGGAGTCAGGAGGAGTTCTAGGGGGCAGAAAATAAAGAGCTTGTACCTGAGCCACGGATCACCTGTGAGGAGAACACATCTGTTGGTAAGAACACACGCTTACTTATTCTGCTTGTGTTGATGCCTACTTAATGTGTTTTTAGGCACATTAACACTGCCTGTTTTAATCAGGATTTTGTCATCTGCTCCACTTTCTTTCAGTCTACAACTGTCTTCCATCAGCAAAAAGGATGGTAACTATTTCCTTTTTTTGTTTTATTTTCTGTTAAATTAAATATGGTCAGTGTGGTAAATGCTATGAGAATTGCCAAGAATCAACGTTGTTTTGCACAGTTGGAATTAAGACTCGTGTGGTTGAGCCACAGCGCCAGCACTAACCTATATGTTTTTGTGTGATGAAGTGTATCTTAACTCTTGAAAGGTCAGTGCCTTTTCAAGCCTCACAAGACCTGTACTGCATGATCAGTCTAAAACATAGCACATCACAAATAACTGTCAGCACCAGCTCTTGATTTGCATGTAACTCTAGATGCTTTTTCTTTCTATTAATTTGATTGAATTTTCATTTCAGTGGATCTTAATTTTTTCATTATGTTTTCTATACTGTGACAATTTGATGTGTAGAGACACCCTGACTTCTGGATGATCCCTAATTCACTGAAAGGACTTTCTGTGAAGATGCACTCATCAGTAAAACATTAGTACGACTCGTGCAGTATACTCACATTGGCACGGAAACAGAAGGAGCAGCTTCATTTGATACCCTTGATTTGATTTTATCCTCTCTAGCTTGTCGAGAGACCTCAGACTGTCTGATGAGTTGATTTAAGACGCAAAGTGACGGCAAGAACTCAGTTTCAGTTGATGACGGTGGTCTAATTTGTACCATATTGTATTACCACGAGCATGGAAACTGCAGGTACGTTTGTCTATTTGTATCCCCAACGGGTTACAATTTCATCAAAGGACGAGACAATGCTCCCTAATGGCACTGAAAAGGAACAAAACAGCCAAACTGTGAGATTAGCACTGACTGATGGCTGACATGTATCCATAGGCCTACTCTTATGTCCCCCTTTACTCGTATTTATTCTTGTTCCTGTAGTTGGATGTTTGAGTTTCACTGTGCAGAATGATGTATGTACATGTATGTGTGCTTGAAACCAGAAGGATGTTTTAATATTCATCTGCTGAAAGTGGAAAGTTTTAAGGGGTAGGGTATACAAGCATGATTTGGAATTTCGATTGGAAGTATATCCTGGTCCAGTATGCGATTTAAACAGATGTGCTGTAGAAACTTGAAGTCATCAGTGCACATACACTAATAATGGACTGTACAGTGAAGTAGGATACATCTTTTGTCCAGCAGGAAATGAACAATGAACAGATTTACTATGTTCATTATCTTAGTTTAGCGTGTTAGCGCAGGCTAATTAGCACTGAACACAAAGTAAAGTTGAAGCTGGTGGGAATGCCATTAGTCTTACAGGCATTTGGCTATAAACCAAGTTTGGACCGGTTGAAATTGTAACGACGATGGAGCTAGACGAGTAGTCAAAGGATCACTAATATCCGTGAGATCAATTCTCTCAGGACCATGGATGTCTTTACCGTATTTCATGGTAATCCATCCAATAGTTGTTGAGATATCTCACTCTGAACCAGAAACATTAACTTTATGGTGGTGGTAGATGAGAAGATAATCTTTTTCACTTGCTAAGTGAAACCTTTGACCTGCTGCTGGCACCAGATGAAGAGTCATTGGGATTTATCCTATGGGGATCTTAAATTGTCTGTACCACATTTAATGACAAGACATCCAATAGTTAGAGATTTCAGCTTGGACCCATGTGGTGGGCTGACATTACCATCATTAGAGCCACAATGTTATCTAAAAAAAACCTTTTGTTAGCTAACATTGATGAAGAGAGACCGTGGTGTCAAATTAAAGCTCAGTTTCATGGTGCATGCAGACAGGATCAAGGCTGTGACAGTAGCGTATTAAATTGACACTTCAAGGCAAACATCCTCGTGTTCTCTTGAAAACAGATGAACAACAAAAGAAATAATAAACACTCACACTGAGAGGAGGGGGAGACAATTATCTTGCATTTCTCCCACCTGCGCAGAGTTTGAAACGAGGGCGCAGCTTAGGCAGACGTTTTATTGCTTTTTCTTTAAATGACATTTTCCCTGGAAAACAATCTGAACACAAGTGAGACACAGTACATTTTTTAAAATTATCTGCATAACACAAAGCAGCAGCCAGCAGCAACATTTAAGTTATACTTACGGTACTTGACCCAGACTTTGGATATGTTTAAACCCGAGCGGTTTTGATGCTCAGTGGTAACATTCTTTTACAGGGCAGCTACAACAGTCATTGGCAGCAATATTCAGTACCATTTTGAAGAAACTCATTGCTTTTAAGTTTATAACTAATATGCACACAATACAACAATTAAAATGAAACAGGTCCACAACATTTTTATGCAGGTGTACAATCGTATGTATGACTTAAATTCTACAGCATAAACACAAAAGAATATATGAGAGTGTATGCTTTTGTGTTTGTACATTTGATTCTTTATCTGTGTGCAATAGATGCAAACAATGTCTTTTAAATGTATTAAACATTCATTTGTGTTGCTCTCTTCCTACAGGCGTACAGAGGAAGTGTTAGACCTTTCGTCAACTTCAACGCCAAACACGATGCTGAAATCCTCCATAAAGCCATGAAAGGAATCGGTCAGTTCTATTAGGAGAAATGTCTTTTTAACTGCTGTTTAGCTTTCCCACTCACACTGGGAAACTAAAATCTGTCCATCTTGTTTCAGGGGTATATTACTGGTTATTGAACCTTCAGGAAGGCTTATTTTAAAGTTGTGGGAGTTGCACATAATCTAATATACAGCAGGTTTATTTGCACATACCCACAAGTGACAATGGTGTCTCATTTATGTGCCATTAGTACAGACACAAATACACACAAATTCAGTGCAATTCTGTTTATGCAGTTTAATGTTTGCTTTGCTGCTCTTTAAAACTAATATAACAATAAAACACAGTAGTGGCACAGCTGTCAGGGAAGCTTTTGGTGCTCTTAACAATTAGAAGAGAAGCTGAGTATCACCAAGTTTTAAACTTAAACTTTATAGCAATAATTCCAAAGACACATCACAAGTCATTTCTACAAAATCAGTAATATAATATATAATATACACTTGGCACCAAACAGTGTCAGTTGATTCTGTAATATGACGGCAGAAGCAGAGGGTGGACTGCTAAAGAATCTGAAATGGTTTGAATAGTTTGAAATAAGCCAAGTGATGATACAGGCAATATATAATACTGATACTTAACAATGGAAAATAAAAAAGAAGCACACAGCCTCCTCATTCATTTCAATGAGACTGCGTTGGTCAAGCTGGTTATTGTTTTAAGACAACAATGTGAACCTATTATTTAAGGCAGAAGGCAATTTGAGAGGGGATGAGGGGCGAGGCCTTCCTCTAGTTATCAAAATGACCAAAATACCTCCCCCTCTCCATTGCCCAGTAGCAGAGAGAGTGCAGGGTGGAGGGGTTGTTTAGTTGAATATGTTAGTCCAGTCTGCCTGACTCATTGATCCTTTATCTGAGGTTTATGCAAGTTAGAGCCTATGGCCCTGACCATGGCTCTGAAGTATCAGTACCCTATTTGTGCTGTGTATTCATAAATCCATTGCCCTGCCTGTGCTGCTGAAAATGCACCCCCAGACCCGTGGGGGTTAGGACTAACCCTAACCCTCCAACTGGACTAATTTGACATTTTGATCCCTCAGAGGAAATATCACGTGTTGCTCTTCGTTTGTCTCTCTGAGCTTTTTCCTCTGAGGTTCTGGTGATTTCCAGGAACTATTGATTGTAAGATCAAATCCCTCTGAATGCTGATCTCCTGCTTTAAAGGGTTGACTTTTCATTTAGGGCTATATTCCAAACTCTCAATTATTCTCAATCATGTTTTGCTTTCGAGAGCGTGCTTCTGCTAGATGATGGGTGCAAACACAATAATGCTTTATTATACCTTTGTGTATGAAAATAATAAAGAATTTTAAATATAAATCCGATAGAATAGAATGTGTGCTGTTGTAATGTAATTCAATGTTTACTTCCCTTTTGTTTCAGGTACGGATGAAGATGCAATCCTCATGCTTCTGACAGCCCGCAGCAACGACCAGCGCCAGCAAATAAAGGCAGCGTACAAAAAGGCATACGGAAAGGTAAGGCGAGCCGCTGGGAACGAAACAGAGAGCTGGTGACAGTCGGCAGTCAAACTGATGGATGGTTACAGGTCATGTCAGCCACTGTGTCTCACTCACCAACATCACCTGGATGACGCTCAATCCAGAAACGTTGAAGGCACGGGGATAAGAATGATCCTGGCAGTATTCTATATTTTCATTATTGTCAACAAATCCCATCAAAGATCAAAACCAACATTGTGTGTCTGTCCTCAGTTCTTTTCAGCTGTCTGTCTGGCACTCTGCCCCAAACCCATTCATTCCTACTGAAGACCTAAACGTTTAGAAATATATATAGTCTTTTTTTTAAACTGGACACTGTACTTTTGAGCAAAAGGGAGTAAACTGTGCTTTGTTGGGGACTATTATCAACTACAGATTTATACGCAAGTTCAATCTGAGGCTACCAGGATATGAAAGCAGAAAAAAAAATCTAATTCTCAGAATATGTTGGGTTTTTTTTAGACATCCCTCTTATCTTTGCTTTTTTTATTGTCACTCACTAGATAATGGTGAGTCACAATAAATGAAGGTTTGGGGTTTGATCCCTGGCATGTCCTGCTGCATGTTACAGTGGTCATGAGCAAGATACTGAACCCCAGATTTCTAAAGCACTTAGTCTTTGGAAGACTAGAAAGGTGCAATAAGAATCCTTTGACCATTTACAGTAGCAAGATGGTGTCTGTGGGATCAATTCAATGTGTTAATACTATGAAGAAACATACAGTATCAGCCAGTGCAACAGTCATGTCACGTTGCTATATTGCTTCCTCCAATGTTATAAGAATATTTATAGTACTAAGTATAGTACTAATAAGTACTATATTTTCGTTCCATTAAATTTGTCTGACAGTTAAAGCTTAGTGCTATAAAGCACAATACAGTGCATAGTTAGAGCTTAAACGGGTGGGCCTCAACTTTCATGGTTTGTGATCCCTTACAAAAAAGTAATGTGTAGGCTTTTCAGATGTCTATGTCAGCAGTTCCACCAGGAGACATTTCATTTAAATACCTGTTTGAGGTAAAATAATCTATTATTTCACAAAAAAACAAAACAACAATGAAAACAAATTTGTGGATATATAATAATGTAAGTGTGTCAGTCACAAGGGCAGTTTTTCTGTAGAATACTTGAAATGCATTTTGCTGGTATAATTTCTGCACTACTTAGAAAGGACTTTTCCTTCTAGTATTTTTGACATTGTTGTATCAGGATCTGACCTTTTCCACCGCTGGCTGCCTCAGCTACACTAAGGTTTAATTGCACAAAGTCATCCAACCATCTACAACATCCAGTTCTTCTGTCATTAAGAATCAAAGAGCAAGAGTTTGCATTTTGTACCAACATTCAGCAGTCATATGGGGGAAAATGAATCGTAGAATAGGAAAGAAGACCAATTTCCTGCAGCCTCCATGGACCAGAACTCAGTTCAGTCAGTTATATTAGACCGTGGGTCATTTTATGCTCTCCTGCTCTTGCTGTTCTATAACACTGTCAAGTTATTTTATGACCACCTGTGGAGTGGAAGTTAATTTGCTGTCTGTGCAGGTTATTGAAAAACATTCCAGCAAATGTAACTGGTGCCTGAAGTACAAATAGATGAGGCATCTTGAGAGAAAAAAGGTAGATCAGAAAATCACAAAGTAGCTCCTGGAAAAACTCGGAATATTACAGTGTTTTGTCAGAACCACTATTTAAAGGTTGAAACACTAGCTTTAACTACTCATTTGCAATAGCATCTGAACTGAGAACTGGTGCCAAAAAAGTAAAGAGAAATACTGATACGCATTTGATCATGTCACTTTAGAGTGCATGCTCTTATATCTCTGCTATCATTTTCTATAACTCACAGTGTCAGATTTCTGCTCTGTAGTGCACCTTTTGACAAACCGTTTATGGAAATTTGATTTGACTGGCTTTTAACAGATCTGAAAATGGAAACACATTTTTATGTGAAAAGAGAGATGGGTTATGTAACGTAGAATAAGGGGATTATCTGTAAGGGGTCTCATATATTGAGCTGTTAAAGAGATGAGTGTTCGACTCTGTATACTGCAGAGTCCTGGCCCAGCACCGCAGATTATAACATCCCTTGGGTGTTTATATGTATATATATTTATGCTATTACTCTTTTCAGCGGCTATAATCAGATCTTGTTCCCAGCGAGGCCCAAATATGTGATTCATTGTGTACAGAAATCAATTTAGATGAAGCCTTTGAATAAAATGTCCTGCTTGATTAGCTGGAAATACTGCAAAGTAAATATATCTTTTTTTTCTTTCCTGCAGGTACATTTCTTATGATTATCCTCATTCCTTTGAATTCCTTTCAGCAATGCAGTGAAATGAATGAATGCTGAATATGGTTCATGCCTTTAAAGACTATTGCTATGAATAGAGTTAAAATAGTCAGATTGCATTGATTTTCAGTTTCTTTAATGTAACAACATTTAAATGATGCAAAGTCATTTACAAACACAATTATTAATGGGATGTTTTTTGTTCTTGTCATTAATCATCTCAGGACTTGGTCAGCGCACTAAAATCTGAGCTTGGTGGGCTGTTTGAGAGTCTGATTGTGGCCCTGATGACCCCACCCATTTCATATGATGCTTCCCAGCTGCACAAGGCTCTCAAGGTAACTGATGAAAGTAAAGTCATCAGGGTCTTATATGCAAATGAGTTGCAAACCTCAGACGACCGCGTTTATTCCCTTTTTTGTGCTTGTACTTGTACACAGATGTTCCAACATCTGCTAAAAACTTTCAGCTGAGCAATAGACCGTTCTCTTGGAGCTCATTTCAACTTGTCATAGCAGGAAAAGCATGTGTGTGAACTAATAACAGTAATGAAGGCTCCCTTCTATGTAAGCCATGCCAGTGAGACAGCATACACAATAACAGCGCCTTAGTATTGGACCACATATGTGAGACCAGTTCTTAGGATTTTTTGTTTTTGCTTTATTTGTGTTGTGACAGGTAGGTTACATAGCATTTAAAAGGTCCAGTGTGTAACACTTAGGAGGATCTATTGGAATCTTTTAGAAATGTGATATAATATTCATAACTATGTTTTTATTAGTACATAATCAAATGATTTTTGTGTTTTTGTTACCTTAGAACGAACCCCATTTATATCTACAGACGCCACAGGTCGCCTTCAATGGATGCATTCATATTTAGAATTGCTTATGCATTGTTTCATATGGAATAATGTTCTTATGCATAGGTTGAAAGTGGGCAAAAGAGAAAATCTGAAACACGTCAAAGTCTGCTACTTTATATGATAAAACCTCCACTAATCATTGAACTTCATATTAACAATGAAAAACGACCTAAGGGGTCTCTTCTAATAAAGAACCCACAGAGACCTATCATCCGAATCTGTGGCTCTACTGTTTCCAGCAGCAGGTGGTAGCTGTATTAAAATAGCCAGATATTTTTACTCAGATGTTTCTGGAGACCAAACCATAGTTAAACTGAATATTGGACTTTTTCAAATGATTGTTTATGTTGCTTTATGGTGACAGTGAGTAGACAGTTGTTTGCCAACGTTACAACATATTAACATATTTATACATCAGGTTGTGCAAGTGGCTTGAAGAGTGAAATAAAATAAATTAAAATGTCAACATTTTGGAAAAGGTAAAAAAAACATATTTGTGAGCATTCACCAACTACAGCTTCTTATTAGGATTTGACATTGTCAATAAGACATTTTTTAAAAAACAAAAACAAAGACAAGGACACAAACGATTTCACTTGGTGCAAAAAGAGTGTATTATTGTTGTATTCCCTTGTCACAGGTGTGAAGCTGTTCAGGGTCGGCATGGCAATATTTGTGCCGTTGTCACAATAATGTCAGGAAATTGCCATTATCTGTGATTGCTCGAGGCAATCTTCTTGTAGCTACTGCTATAAAAACATGTTTTTTGACTCTAAGATCACAACTCTGTAAGAGTGACCCGTGACATAACTTAATGAGATACAGCACTGTACTGAAGCATATACCATGCTTATTGAATGGAATAAGCCCACAGTACAAGTGTTGGGTGGTTGCAACCAAAATCCGGTTTGATATTTACATGATACCTGCTGGAAACATCTGACCCAAGCACTCAATTCAGTACCTAGGCTCCATAATTAAAATCATGTTTCATATGGTGTCATTTTCATCAGTTGGTTAACCTCTGTACATCTGCTTCACATCTATTTAAGGTCAGAGGTTAAGACTGGTTTTCATTAGAGCCTCTCTCCTATCTTATTATCTTTGCTTCCCATCACATGTGTTGGGTCTCAGTGCAGGTTGTAACACCTGGGAGGTAGTAACAGAACAGTCTCTTCATATCTATTTGTTGCACCTCTAATTTGACTCAAATCAATAAGTTGTCACACAGAAGTAGTGGTATTATATTTAATCACACATATAATTTACTGATGCTGTAGGCTGGATGTATTAGTTTGTTTTATAGCTTAGATATTTCAGACATTTTGAGGCTTCACATACTTACCTCTGCTGCTTTTTATGTCACACTGATGGCTCATAAAGTTTGAATGAAGTCTGCCTAAAGAAAATAGGTTCAACAAACACCTGACTCCTCTTATAAGTTACTAATGGAACTTCTTTTTGTTCTGACTATTCTTTAATCACATTCACATACGCATTACCAGCGCAAATGAAATGTTCAATCAAAGTGAAGGCAAAGCATTTAGGACTTGCCGGTGACATTCCCATCACACCTACTGCTCCACTTTTGCTAGAGGGTTAATTACAGCGAGGAGAAGAGAAATGGCTTTAAAGTATGGCTGATCCTCAGAGCTAATTCTCTTCGGTAAACTGGGCTTATTCATTCTCTAATTGCACACCGCTTCAGTGTATTCTGTGTATTTCCTTCAGCCTTTTTTCTTTGACAATTCTTAACTTTTGTCTCACAAATATTGCTCTTTGCACACCATGATATTGGTTAAAATAGCAAAAGAGATAAGATTTCTGTGAGAACACGCTGCCAGACAAATCCATATCGAGTTCATCCATTTATTGTGTTTGGTTCCCAGGGTGCTGGGACTGATGACGACGTGCTGATTGAGATCATGTCCTCCAGGACCAGCGAACAGATGAAAGATATCATCAAAGTGTACAAGAAAGGTGACTTACTCTGCTGTGAAAGACAGAAACAAAAGCAGATTAAGATGTTCACTGTCACCGTTATTGATTAGTTTCTTAGAGCTTTATAATGAGAGGGTGAAATGTGCAACTGGTAATGGGTGTGATCAGATGTGCAACACACTTTTCATCTAACAGGGATTGCCGCACTGCTTTTCAGTTCAGCTTGTAACTAAAAACCACAAGACTCTTTTTTATTTTTATTTTACTTTGCAGATAATCATAAAACAAAAAAAAAGTCTTTGTTAGTCTTTCCATTGTCTTTTCAACAATAACCAACAGTGGTTTCAAAATAAACTCTTAATTCAGATAGCTGTGAGAACATTCAAGTGCATCCACTAAAAATGCTTTTTTGCCACTCAGATTGTGATTGTCAACATCCCTTCATAGATAGAGCTTTTGTTTAACCAGTAACAGCAGTTACATCACCATTGCCATGCAACAAAACACAATAGAAAATAGTATGCGACATCGAAGGCACAGAGGGCCAAAACCAAAGAGGCCAGTTTATTTGATCCGGACAAAGAGAAGGCCACGCTGTCCTTTAGCTGACTAATCAAATCTGCTGTCCGAGATCCTCCCGCAAAATGTCCCACTAGGGTCGATTTCAACCGTCAGTGACTGTTGTGAGAAAGACATGTAAGCAATCTTCTGCCCCTCTTCTCCTCTTTCCTCCAGAGTTTACCAGCAAGCTGGAGAAGGATATCTGCGGTGACACCTCAGGGCACTATCAGAAACTACTGGTGATCCTCCTGCAGGTAGAGAATGGGGGCTGCTGGAACGACTTATGTTTCTTTTACCTGATAATGACCCTCTGGTGATGCTATTACAAAGTCATGAGAGGTTTAGGTGTGGGTTAGGCACGGGGAGGGTGATGACAACACAATACATTACAGTCGGGTTCTCGAATGTGTTTTGGTGTACGGACAGAAATGTAATCTTCATGCTTCTGGGACACTTAATGGATAATGTAATCTTCCGGGGTTACATGGGTTGAGAGAGGCTCTGAGCAGGTCTGCGCTCATCGTGTTTCTATCCACACTGACCTACTTTTGCTTTCTGTTTGTCAACCTACCTTTCTGCCTTTCTGTCTGGTCCGTCATTTTTCTGGCCGTGAAGGGGAGCAGGGAGGAAGGGGTAGACGAGGCAAAGATCGAGAAAGACGCTAAGGTAAGAAAAACAAGATATGGCTCATTGCTCAAAAGGTCACTTTTATTCAGAAGGGATCCCCTTTTCAGCAATCCTTGTTAGATAATAATCCCATGTCACGAAGAAGATGTTGCTATTTGTCCATTTATCCCTCCCTGGTGTGCCTCCAATCTCTCACCAGAGATATTGAACCGTTCTGCAAACCCTAACCCTAACCTTAACCCTAACCCACGTGCTCATGGAAAAAGAGAAGAAGAAGAAAATATTAAAAAAAAGCAAAGAAAAACACAACTTATGTCATAAAGTGTAAACACTGCGACATCTCATACGTAGGAGAAACAGGCAACACAATTAAAACTAGACTGGCACAACACATATATTTAACATATAAAAATCATAACTTAAGACACACACACACACACACACACACACACACACACACACACACACACACAGGGCACACAACTAGGGTTTATTAACATGGTTAGGTCTGTAACAGGAATACAAAACAAATAATTACGGGCAGCAAGAACTGGATCAGAAAACTGAACACCAGATTCCTCCACCACCACCACACCAGGGCACAAACTGTATTTTTTCCCCAAAAAACAACAATTAAGAAATCCCCACAAAGAATACCTTGGGAAAAAGGATTTCTCTTTCTAACCCTAACCCATGTGCTCATGGTAACTACGATACATGGCTTATAGTAAATAAAACATGGACTATTTCCCGACTGGGAGCAGTAACTTCCAGTAGTCTCAGCGGGTTGCCTGGCAACTGCTCCCAAGAACTAATCCAGCACAAAACCCCATTGTTGTTTTTATGAACTTAGATCTTGTACAGATTAAATAAACAAAATATAACATGTTAATTTGTGAGCTTTAGAGGTGCTGGTAGACAGCTAGGTTAGGAAGCTTCCAGCCTTTATGCTAAACTAAGCTAAGCCAACCGGCTGCCGGCTGCAGCCTTGTATTCAATGGGCAGACGTGAACATGGTATTGATTCTTCACTATAACTCCCCACCAGAAAGAAAGAGGAGGACACAGCTAAGGGCTACACTCCCTTCTTTGTTCTATAAAGCAGTCAAACCTATGTTGGAGATTGTTGTAATATAATTGTAACTTCACTGAGGTCTTGAAATGAACATGGTGACAGTTTATTAATGTTAAAATTCAACATACAGCATATTTAAAAAAAACAAAACAAAAGAACAAAATAAACGAGTGTATGACTACTGTGCTATAGATCATATTTAACTTAATTTCACCATTTTCTTTCAAATGTCAACATGTTAAATATATGATCATATTTGTTTGGCTGCTCTTTAAAAGTGTAATACAACTAAAGGCCAAGTCTGAAGAATAGTCAATAGGAAAAATTAATTAAAGGACGCAAACCTCCAGGAATGGAACATCTTGTTTCCAATAAACCATTTCTAATTATTGATTCTTTATCATCATTATTATTAGCAGTAGTAGTAATAGTATTTCTGTATTTGATTAATTATCTGACCATGAGGTGAGACATAGACCTAAAATCCAGAATTTCTCTCTAACATCAGAGACGAACTGAGAAAAACAAAATGTTTTTTGGTGTTTTGGCACAGTGCAAGGTCCTACATCAGTGCTGTCAATTTTTCTCTTTCTGTGCGTTGCAATAAATCATGTCTACACAGGTTACTTCTGTGTGTGTAAATGTACAAGTGTGTATCTGCCACTACAGGACTTGTATGCTGCTGGTGAGGGCAAGTTTGGCACAGATGAGGAAAAATTCATCACAATTCTTGGCAACAGGAGCGCAGAACATCTCAGAAAAGGTGAGTGTGTGAGAGTTTGTTTGTGCCAGCATATTTGATATTTTGTCAAACCTGCTGAAGAGAGAAACATCAAAGGTTGCAAACAACATACCTTCACTATCCATTCATGCTCTACTTTATTATTGCACCCAAATAAGTCAGGCAGCTTTTATACTTCAAATAAATGTCAGAATGAGCAGGGTAACTTAAAGATCCTCTCCAGACATGTATTAAAAATCCTTAAAAAGGCATCTACTCCTTCTACCTCATTAAAAATTCCAAAATCTATTAATTGCTGGACAGAAGATGTCTCCTACTTAAATCTAAAGTCCATTCTCAGTGTATGTGCACTGGTGGTTTAAAGTTTCTACATCACACAGTTGCACACTGGACCAGGATTGGCTTCTAAATTATTTGTAATGTCACAAATAATGCTCGTAGACCCCACCCCTTAAAATCAGATTTTCAATGAGCACAGAGAAACTTTCCACTTTCAGCAGATGAATGTGAAAACATCCTTCTCGTGTCAAAACTCTGCACATACATCATTCTCAAACATCCAGAAATACACAGTGAAAACATCTCAGGAGAAGAGTACAGCCTTTAATGTTTTCACACAAACATAAATATTAATTAAAAAAGTAGCACAAATGCTTGGATAATTGTAAAAAGCACGAAGAGAGGTTGAAATGTGCAGCAGAGGCCAAAAGCTGTCCAAAAAACACAAAAGTTAGACACACAAGGTGGGAGCATAAGAACAAAAGTAGAGAGCACTGGAATTTGTATGGTGATTAAGGTGTGATAAACAGCACACAAGCTCAGCGGCAGTCCCGAGGGCAGAAATTGTTCTCTGCAAAGAGAGCTAAGAGAGGAAAATACCAGTTGTTTCTGGTTTGTCAGACAGATGACGGACTAGACACGCAACTCACTGAAAAATTTAAGTGTATGGACTCAAGCAACAACAAACAGGTCAGTCAACCGGTTAGATGAAGCTAGAGTGAAAGGGAACATGATCACCAGCAATGACGGCATCCCTAGCATCAACAAGTCCTCATACCTAAACAACAAAATACTTCGCTTGCCAGTGTCTTCCAAAATTACTTATTACACTACCCTAAAACTGTTCTATGATTATGTTTACGCACCTGGAACCATAAATAATGAATACACATTATTATGGTTTATTTCAAAATAAAGTTACAGTTTTTGCTTTAAATGGGGAAAATAAATGAACAGACATTCAGCACTACAGTTAAATAGAGTCAGGCAAATAAAAATACAGTTAATTGGATGGAATAAAATACCCAGCAATAAGATTACAAAAAAAGATTACAAGAAGATTATTAAAAAAATATATAAACTATTAGATAATAAAACATGGAGGTAACAATAAAATGGACTGGGTACAATACATTAATTAACACAATGTGATAACTCAGATAAAACTTGAAATCTAGTCCCCGGGTTCACATAACAGAATGAGTTGCCCTAAAGTCAAAATGTTGCAACCTTTTCAATACTGAATACTATTTTCAAAGACTCCAGAGAACACCTGAAGTGTTGCTGTGGTTCTTTTGTTCTCTTTAGTGTTTGATGCCTACAAGAAGCTCTCTGGCTCTGAAATAGAGGACAGCATTGAAGGGGAGACCACTGGGAATCTGGAGAACCTGCTGCTAGCTGTTGGTAAGAGCTGTGATTTACCAGGATGATCCTTGACCGATCATAAACGCTGTTCTATTTCTTTTATTCTGATATGCATGTTCGAATGAAATGCAGCAGAAGATAACACCTGACAAATCAATACCAATATGTCAGTAACATGACACAGAACCATGTCGGTGCCCTGTGTTCTTTCTCCACAGTGAAATGTGCCAGGAGTGTCCCAGATTTTTTTGCTGAAGGCCTGTATAAATCTATGAGGGTAGGTATCTCACAGTATCCACTGGAGTTCTTCATATGTGTGTTATAATATGTGGTTTTTTTTTTAATGGTTAATAATATTTTTTGTAGGATTTTGTTCCAAAACAAGTCTTAAAATACAGAGAAAAACAATACAAAACAAGCAAGGGTTCTTTAGGGAATAGTTTGGCATTTCAGGAAATACACTTGTTTTCTCTCTTTCTCAGAGTCTCCGCTGGTTGCCTGGCAACCTCAGGGGGACAATGGAACTCCGGGGAGTCGAATTGAAGAAATAGTCTGGAAATGAACCCCCATAAAAGCCACAAATTATTGTTTTTACGCCTTGGTTTTTGTACAGATTTAACTAATATAATATGAGAAGAGCTTTAGAGGTACTGTTTGGCAGATTTTTTTTAACATTTGCTTTAAACCATACCAGCATGTTTTAAAATTCCCCTTTTTATCACAGAGAAATCCCTGTGGATGTGTTTTAGAATTGTGGATGTATTTTTTCTACTATATTAAATTGGATTCCATTAATTTCAGTACATTATGAAAATGAATTAGCAGACTCTTAAGACGTGTTTGAGCTGCATAACAACGAACATCAAAACTGCATTCATATTCATCACATTATAAGGCAGTTTAAAGTAATGGTTCAAAATCTAGGGGAAACCTTTTTATTCACTTTCTTACCGAAGCTTCTCATGTAAGTGAATTAGCATGTTTCCCAAAAGTGCAGACTTGATGTTCACTGTGATTAATTACTGTATATATCCTCAAGCAAGTTCAGGGACTCTACAAATTAATTTCCATATCATACAGAAATAAAACCACAAATCTACGTTTGTACAGCATGCATTTAAAAATTATTGGCAAAAATGTTACGTGACTTGTAGTTAAGGAGCTAAACTTTCCAGAATCACTGGACAGCTCCTTCAAGAGTATCTTCTGAGAACAAAGCCAGATGTGTTTTTAAAGTGCCCATTTTCAGAAAGTGGCTTTACAGTATGGGAATTCAACTCTTCAACTGTGCCACCTGCTGGAACTCCCGCTGGTAAATATGTTTCTGTGTTTAGCGCGCTGGAACTGATGACAACACCCTGATGAGGATAATGGTGTCGAGGAGTGAGGTGGACATGTTGGACATCAGAGCCAGCTTCAAAAAGATGTATGGAGCGTCTCTGTACTCCACTATCCAGGTACTGCTCACGCAAACACAAAGCTATTATGGACCTTCTGTGTATCTGTATATTTCACTGTGGGTTTTTATAAAAAAAAGAATCCTTAATAAGCCAAAAAAAAACATCTACTCATCTATGTACCCTCTGCATGCTTTAAAGCACCAGCTGGGTGTACTATGCTTAAACACCATTCATGTCAGTGCAGTGAGTGAGTGCATATTTGTGATTTACTCTAAATGCCTCGTTCAGTGTGATGAGGCTGCTTCCCTGCTTTTCACACAAGTGAATTAATCTATTCTCCTGGGGCCAGATGTTCAGGCAGAGTTATTGCCATCTTCCAGTGGAACTCCCAAATGGACAATACTGAATAGATAAATAAGACATTATGAAATAACCTTTGAATAAATGCTGTGAAATATAAAAATGAACCAGTATATATTTTCTTACAGTTTCAGTAGAGTTCATTTGATTATAGCAATTATTATTTCAAATAGCTTTTTCCTTTCCCAGTGACACAATTTCATAGAACTTTTTATTACTTTTCATGTTAATAGACTCACAGCTGATATTTTGACTTGTCAATCACAGGTGTAACTAATAACATGAATTATGGCTGCCTCTCATTTATATCTTGCACTTTCATGGTCCTGGTATTATGGATCACTGGCTCTTTGAAATGAGCCAGAGTTGATCACTAATGTTATTCCTGCTTTCATGATGCCGTGTTCATGTTATCATAATCACACGTTTCTGACTTGTAAGTAGCATTCACATAAATCAGAATTTTAATAATAATATTATAATATAAATTTAAGTCCCTGAAAAGGCAAACAAATTTCAGCCACTTATTATACATTTAGGGGTAGACTAATGCACAGTGTAACAATCACACAACCAATTATGCAATCTTACAACCATCTTTTTGTTTTCTGGTGATAAACGTGGGAATCTTTCCCATTTCTATACTTTTCATGCAACATAACGAGAAAGCAGCATCAAACAAAATGTCTGCTTTGAAAAATATCTATTATTTCCATCAATTCCTGCAACCCGACTCTTTAATCAATCCGACCCTGCCAGCTAGATCCTGTAACAAGAAGCTAAGAGAAAGAAACCCCTCTTTAGGCTATTTCTGTACTTCATATCATAGTTTTGAACAAAATTATGAGCCGCTTACAGGTCGGACATATTGAGAACAAGTACAAGAGACAGATACCATATCTCCCACCTAGCGAAAATAAGTGTCAACAAAGAGGTGGCAAAATGGCAGCAAAGCCACTATTGCTGGCATTTCATTCTAAATATAATTAAACATCACCACTAAAACAACTCTTTCACCAAATTTAAAAGAAGCTTATTGTTGTTTGCACCTGGTTTCACTTGTTAACAAACAGCTTATCATGTACCACAACAAATGTAGCTAATTTAGCCTATTGAAATGGTGGAACTATACTGCTAGCAGTGGGGGTAACCATTATTACTGATACATAAACAAATGAATACAGTGAGTAATAAAATGGAGTAAAGAAATGTCACAACCCAAGCTAGGTAGTTAGCTGGCTGGGTATGTAGCATTTGTAGCCTCGTTTAGCTTTGCCTGTGCTCTGTATTTATTTGTTTTTGTTAGCTAACATGAGCTAGTTGGCTAGATTTTGGTAGCCGTCGCTGAGCCTGCTAATACAAGCCGGGTGGTCGGCAGAAGGGTGAGGGCGTGGCGATTCACGACAGCACCATTACATTACATTACATTCATTTTCACTTTTGTCAAGAGCAACAATGACAATGCGAGCCATTTGGGGTTCAGTGTTTCGCTCAAGGACGCTTCGACATGTGGAGAGGAGGAGCAGACCATTCAACCACCTGAGCTGTAACCGCCCTCGGGAATTAAAAGGGACACTGTGATATACAGGTGTCATTGGAAAAAACACCAATACCAAAAAATAGGGCTTATTGAAAAAAATGTTTATAGTGGAACAGAAATAGGCAGGCTAAGTGTTTTATTTAAGGCTCAAATAAAGTGGAAAAGAACATCTGATGTATCAATACAGAATCAATAAAGCATGTGCCTTCTGAATGTATAAGATTGATAAAATAATGACGTGTCTGTTGTTCTTGCAGGAGGACACAACTGGAGACTACCAGAAGGCTTTACTCTACCTCTGCGGTGGAAATGATTAATGCTGTTTTATGATGAGTTTAGCAGCACTGAATGATGAGCCACGGCGTTGCTGTGATACAAAGCTACACATGAGATGAGGTTATTGATCCGGAGTTGTTGATTCTTTCTGACTTTAGCTTGCTATTGATTGAGTGTGAATTACCCGTTTGTCATTTTGACTTGTGATCATAATCGCCTGCGTGAACAGCAGTTAGAGTGCATTCACATGAAAGTTATTTTGTGTTTTGTTTAACATTATTTAAACAGCTCCGCCAGAGTAATGAGTAGGGGGTGCAGTTTTGATTTTAACGTAGAGAATAAATGTAGCCATGTTTGAAATGATTAAATGTCTGGTTATTTTTTAAACACTTAAATTGTTTTTCTTCAGTCTCGTGGCCCTATTGTTTTGTCAGAGTTACATGCGATGTTATAAGTTGTTTTCAGTGCTCGAAGCATGTGTTAAATGCAGCTTAGAAAATACAATACTTCTGCTGAATTATTAAACCCTACATGTCGACAGCACTCCCGCTCTCATTAATTACAAATGAACTTCTGATCCGGACTTGAATTGCAACACGGCTCTCAGTGATCAATAAGTAATGTGACACTATTAGACAGTGTTGACTAATATAAAGACATCTACTGCCTCCGAGTCTCTCTGCATGAAAGAGCCTGATGCCAAACAAATTGGGTCCTTAGATCAACAGATGGGAAATGACTACACTTTGCTGGAGGTGAACCACAGGGTGGCAGCAGAGTGTATAATGAGCAGACTGTTTCTCTGTTTTCATTCCCAGAAATGTAAATACCACTGACATAAATGCCACTTTCAATGAAATATTTTACTTTGAAAGTCATATATCTGCATTTGTGTGGTCTCCCTCTTTGATATTTTCAGTTACTGACTTAAACTAAACTAAATTCAAGTGCCCAGACTTCAAAAACAATTTTCATATTGGTTCAGAGATCAAAATCTTTAGCTTCTTTAGCTATTATTTACCTACCACATTGTAAGATTATAGCAGCATTTCTTCCACACTATTTGACTTAAGTAATCTTCTCCTGTTTTATTGTCTTGTGGATCATTTTATTCATAAGTCCCTGTGATTCAGCTCATTCAGATATACTTCATGTCTTGGAAACCTTTTCATCTAAACTAGAATTTAAATCTGAGAAGCGCTTGTCCTCACAACAGTGGTTCACAGTAATATGAGCCCATCAAAGTGTCTCTGGGGTTAGACACATTAAAATATTAAATTAATGTTGGATTTTCCTCTCTGTGACTCCAGCAGGATGCATATACTGTAATATATCAGTTTTTATAGCTAAATTCAAGACGGGATGACCTTTGAGTCACTTAAAACAACAAGCTTATTTACATGCAACACTCTCACAGTTGTAAATGCAAATCTGGGTTTGAAAATCACTTAGACATACTCGTGTATGTCAGAAAATAAATCTAAGTGAGTTTTTATAGACGTCTCTGTGGTTCAGAAGCCTCTCCCCAGGTTCATAAAATCGCTGTCTGCCAGACGTTATTTTATGTATTCAAAAACCACCTGAAGGTGGGAACCAAGTGGGAAAATGTTTTCATGTATTGGCATGCTTTTCCTTAGAGGCCTGTGCTCTCTTTGCAGACATGCATTCACTCCAATTCACTGCAAAATGACTTGCAAATTGATGTTACCTTTACTCTAGTTATAGTCATTCAGGCAAGGAGCCACAATTGCTTTTTATTGCAGGTATGCTTCTATATTATTTAGTGTCAGATAGTATGTGGCTGAAGGTAAGATTATAGAACGTAAAGACTGAATTTGCACAGGCAGAGCAGCACTGACTGCTGTTTTTTTAGTAACTTTGTAAACAAATTCACTGTATCAGTAAGATTTACCAATTTCTTCCCCTTCTCCTCACAACAGAAACAGAAGAGGAATTCCATATATTGGTATAAATCCACAAAATAGAGTAAATGAGTACATGAATAATGTCTTCAACCAAAAACAGTAAAAAGGAGACACACAGTAAACATATGTTAAGTAGCAAAATTGTGAGGACAGGGCTTAAAAAATACACAGAAACTTCAAATGACATTGATACAAAAAAAGAAAGTTTTGATTAATCTATGTGTCTTTTATCCATTATAATATAGCATGGTACCGGTTGCTGTTGGCTGTTGATAGCAGTCCTCTTACTTAAATGAGGTAAACCTTCTTGGCTGAGGCATTCCAGTTTTAATACTGATGCCTGATTTGACCTATTTCAGTAATTCTTTAATGAGGAAGTTGATCAAGTCCAGTTTATGCAACGTTCAATGAAAAACCTACTAAAAGTTAATACAATTTAAACCAAACCGAACAATACATGTGTAAGCTTATCCTGAAGCATAGAGTACGCAGGCGATATTTACTGCAATATTTACATTAACCTACAAAAAACATGTCATACATATATATGTATGTATATGTATATATACACAACAAACACTTATATAATTTTATTCCTGTGTTCATTTGTGTTTAGGTGCATTAGCTCTCAACTGAGCTAACACAAAATAACTATAATATATCTACAGTTTGGGTGGTTGATACAGTTTTTAATCAGTACAAATGTCTCAGTGCTTATGTGGCCAGTGGCTGCAGTCATAAATCACTTCATGGGCTCTGTACTGGACGTTCATTTCCACTGCAGGAAGATGCTGTAAATCAGCCTCCAGTGTCACATTTCATTCCTTCTAAGTAATTTTTCCACAGTTTAATATGATTACAAAAGTTCCTCACCAAGAATCTTTGCTCTAATTCAGTTGTTCACTGTGTTTTTGATTTAATAATTTTTGTCAGTTTATGTTGCAGTCAGGGTCCTGGTGGATGCTGATTTCTCAGTTGCACCACCCACTTATCTGTCTTGTTTCACGCTAACAATGTAATATTTGTGGTGTTTCATTAATTCCCTTCAGTTCTTTGTAATCTTGGCTCCACCAAGCTTAAAGCTCTTTATAAAGCAAATGCCCATTCACACACAAAGGCATTCATACAAGCCTTGTTGTACACACACACACACACACACACACACACACACATACACACTGTGCCAAATCTCCTTAGAGTCAGTAGTGCTGGGGTGTGTTCTCCCTGCTTTCAGTTTGACCAAGGCCCACATCTCTCAGCCAATCAGGAGCCACAGGCAGTCAGGCCACCTGTAAGTCCACACCATCCACAGTCCACTCGGGAAGGATGTTTTGGCTCAGCTAGTAAATACTATGAAAAGATTTAAAGCAGCATGAAGTGCTAAACCTGAAAGAATAGCCATCAACAATGCAGAGCAATGCTGCTTAGGGGAAACATTTTTAATACAAAAAACTCTTTTTACCAACAGGAACTTCTCAGTCAAATGAAGAGAGTCAGTTTTGAGCAGTCCTAAATATCTACTGCCCAATATGACAGATAACAGCAATACAGTCTAGTGTCACATGTTTCATGTCCAATGCCACTGTTTAGTTCATCCTTTATATAGTAAGAAGGAAACTGGAAAGTCAGGGTTGTATGGAAAGCAGAGCAGGCCAAAAATATTAAAATAACATCGAAAGACAAATATCTTTCCATTGTAGATTTAATGCGGGAAAAGAGAGTTTGTGTCACAGACCTGCAATTAGACAATTTAATCATGTTTTTACAATGACTGTAATGACTCTGGTAGTATCGAGGCTAATCACTGTTATCATAGTTGTTCATCTAATAACTATGGACATGTAACCAGCTTTTCTCAGTCCCTTTAAGGGATGCAACCACTACATCGTGGTCCTTACCTTTTGGGAAACAGTAACAGCTAACAGTGTTTTCCATGCTGTAGCACATGTGCCATTTTACCCCTGATTTTAGGTACAACTAAGTATCAAAATGTCTTTGTTGTAATTGTTTCTGAAAATGTTTACAACCTCACAACGCCTAACTTTTAATGTTCATGCTCATTTGCTTCAATGATACTATTTGCAAAATGAACCACTGTGCTGCAAACATAAAAACAAATGTATCTAAGTTACTGGATGCTCCAATTCATTTAGTGTCTTTTTTATCATCAACATAGACATAGATACTATTCTGAGGGAGCAGAATTTGGCAGCACAGAACGGTCAGGGGTCATTCAGGTGCTCGCTGAAATGTTTCTGGGTTAAAGCGGAGGCATTTTTGCTCGTAAAAATGATTGTATATTGGAATATAAAAAAATGTTGTACATTTTTCAAACACTACTGATTAAGAATTATGTTCTCCTAACACCTCCTGTGTAATGTAACAGTTGGTGCCTAATGTGAAACCAATTTCAGCAGCTTTGAACACTGCAGTTGGTCTTTAGGTTATTTAATTAAATTATTCCCTATACAGAGCTGTTCAACTGAGAGTGAACACGTGTTTTTCTGGCATTTTAACATTTCTATGGGAATTGTTTTACTGAGTGTTCTCTTAAAGCCGTGCTTTGCATCACACTTCACAAGCTGCCTTGCAGAATCAATGTCTTGTGTTTTCAGCAGCTGGTGTTTAAAAGTCTGGCTCAAAGGAAAACTCCTCCCTAAATGTACTCCTATATTCACTGCGTTCCTGCAGTTATTTTGGGACTGCCCTTTAATTTGCTTTTCGTTGCAGCCACATTGCCTCATCTGCCATTATGGAATTTCCTACATGGCCCAGAATGCAACCTGCTGAGAGGCTGAACTTGATGGATTTCAGCTGTGGTAATGCATTATGTTACAGCAGGAGATGAAGCTGAAATCATCAAGAAAAATGAGAGTCATTCGCCTCTCCCAAATCACAGCATGCCCTGGGGCTGCACTGTTCTGCTCTGTTGGAGCTGCTGCGGGTGGAGAAAGTTGTGTCTCTCTCTTACGTAAAAAGCTCTGTATGATTGCCCTAATGTCCGTACTGACACTTCATGTTTGCTGCTGCTGATTTAGCTTAAACCTGACATGGTATCACATCATATTATCAACTATTAGTTCTGTTAATCTCTAAAAATGACAAATACCAAACAATAAATGTACTTTCTGAAACACAGAAAGGGACAAGCAGTGGTCAGTGGAAGTGTTACAGGATGATTTTTTTTTTCTTCAATTTTCCCATCCAAGGATTTGAAGAGCAAACTGACTTGCAAACTTCCAGTCACTCATAACACTGATGGCATTTTATGTGACACATGAACAACTGATAGAAGATATTAGATAGAACCTTTTACTTGTGAGAGAATAGAACGCCACTGGATTTTTGAAAAGTGTAATGAACTAATGTGTTTATAACACATGACAGACTGCTGTGCTCTAATGGTAAGTGTTATATAATCAACTTTTTCCTGAAGGGCACCTCAAATGTTTCATGTTAATGGATGAGAGAGCATTGCTGAATCACTTTTCTTTGCCCCAGTTTTCATAGTTCTTAAAAAGGGAACCTCAGGACAGAAACAACTCTAATGGTAAAATGATTTTGTGACACATTAATAACTAATACAAAAGACTCCTTACTGTGCAGATAATAGAAATAACACTGGAATGCACCTTAGAAGTGGTGGAATGTACATTTACATTTACAGCACAAGCCTGAGGTACAAACAAAACAAATGAAGAGACCAATATGTTTCTACATCAGTCCAGAACAAACAAACCAAACACTGGCTCCAGACAGGGGCGTTCTTTTAGTGTTTTCGAGGCCACCGTAGTTTCTCCTACACACTCAGGAGGGGAGGGCGAAGTGAGGAAGTTGTAGATGCCACTAAATCCTACACACTGAACTTTAAGTAAATGATTTGAATACTCCCTCCTCCACCAGTGAACATTAGTGGAATTTATCTTATGAGCACTTTTCAGCTATACTCGCTATTGCTGATTGAATGTCATGTAAGACATTAATTAAGTTGAAGTTTAGAGCAACAGATCAACTTTGTTTAAACCACACTGTCTCAGCCAACTTGCAGTGCCAGGCTATGAATCAAGCGTGTGTTCAGAATTTCAAATGGAGTGGAAAGGTCTAATGATGCTGTTATATATGCCAAACATAATGTAGAAATCTAAAGTTTCATCTGCCAAATATTTTTGTTAGTTAATGCGATACTTTTAACAATACCCTTCTTCTCCTTGACTTTTATTTTGCAAGTTGAGCATGTGATGTTTTAATGGTTTCACACAGAGAATGTGGATTCAGAGACTTGTCAACGCCAAAGTATGCAGGCTGAGGCTTCTTAAAAATCACACTCCCTCTGGTTAAATTACTGTGTCAATACCCAACATGCTCAAACTGCTAATCTCCCAGCAAATTCCTTCAGCAGGACTGTGCACACATATTTGCAAAAGACAGAAAGAGGCTTTGACATAAAAGAAATCCTTTGAATCAAGGATGAAATGAGTGTAATGGGAAACAAATGCCTTCAAATGAAATGATATGCAGATGTGCTGTCACAACAATGGAATGGGACCAGGCTACCTGTGCTTACATTGTGTTTGTGTAATCACATGTGTAATCAATAAGTACTTTCTTACTAAGGAAGTTATCACCCCAGTACATTTCTCTCAAATTGACAAATCATAGAGCAACATTAAACAATAGATAGAAAAGGTGTTTATTAGGAGGTAGAACCATTGTTAACAATGTGGAGAAATACATCAAAGGGTGTGCTGTCTACATACAATCTACTGAATCTTTAAACAATCTATTATAAGTATTAATGTAACTGCAGAAACCTCCATTTCATGCACCTTTTTCTGTCTCAGCAATCATTATCCTGCACCATAGTGAAAAGGAACGTGCAAACACTCGACCAAGAGTCATTGCAGTACTCCTCTGCCAGCTTCTTGTTATCAGGTTGACAGGATTTGACAGGTCTGGGTGCAGGCCGTGGGGTGGAAGGCAGGTCAGTCTTCCTCTGTGCATTACGCAGTCTGAAATGAGCATCTCTGGCAGCTCTTCTGCACATACCCGCCCTCACCAACGCACTACTGTCCTGGCACAAATTCTTTTGCTTCTTCAGCGCCCTGGCCATTTGCTTCCAGTAAAGTTTGACATTAGAGACATACCGGGGGCAAACAGAGGGCCTGGCGACGTACTCACAGCTAAAGCTCCTGCTCCCCTTCTTGCAAGTGACACCGAGGATGAAGAGGTCCTCACCTGTTGCTGCCCAGGTACACTCTGATTTGTCTTTGGTGACCATTTTGCCCTTAATGGGCTGCGTAGACACAGATTTGGTTTGACGGCCCACCTTCAGCCCTGGCCTGTCCTTGTGTTGCCCTCTGTCCACCCCTCTTCCCCTCCGTCCATGGGTCTTCTGACAGCTGCTCATTACCAGCTGATGGGAAATACAAGCCAGAACCAGCAGGATGGTGATGTTGGTGAGGAAAGCCATGAAACCAGTACAACACAACCTGCAAGAGAATGAATTCAGATTTAGACGTTTAACCTCAAATCATTATAATCCTGTATAACACTGGTTCCCAGCCAGGGGGTCCTCACAGATTTTAGGGGTGTAAGAAAATGTTTACACAGTAGGCCTATATATCAGCATTTCATCCATTTCTGTAAATTAAATTATTATTTTTCAAGTTTCGATTTTATAATTTTATGATTTATTATACATTTTGATGAATTGAACACAAGTTATATTCACAGATTCACAGAACCTTCACTCTCTAATAAACAGCCTCGTCCCACATTAGAAAAGTACACCACACAACCAGAGCTAATAGAACAATGGCAAGTATCGGAAGAAGAAAACACTGAATTTGACAAAAAATAAGCCTATTAAGAATTTATAACTGTTATAAATAAAATAAAATGTTTAATATTATATTTTGTATTGTCATGAATAAAAATAACAATCATAATACGGGCAGAATGGTATGACAACTCATCTCTGATGTGATATTCACAGAAAATAATCTGTTTAAAGTTAACCCAAATATAAGTTGTTCTGTACTGTTATTGTTATGCATTGAATATATATAAATGAGTTGATATGTCAGTGAGGGATCATACGTTTATTCAATGATAGAAAAGGGGTCCCTTATGGAAAAAGGTTGGGAACCACTGCCCTATTAGACATACGTTGAGAAGGAAACTGCTAGCTTTCTTGTAAAAACATCATGGAGGCAGACACTGACTCTGAAACAAAAAGGCAAGGCAAGATTTTTTGCACATTTTAAGGAAATTGAAGTGCTTTACATGAAACATAAAAAGGCATTAAAAGAGACACAATGCAATACAAAAGGTCACATATAAATTGGATTGAAATAAGATAAGAAGCCATAAAGGAATAGTTCAGAATAAACAAGAGGAAATAAAACATTATAGTGCAGTGAGATCTATGTATATATAACCCCCAAACTTTGGCAAACAAAGTTTTAATACTTGATTTAAAATATAACCTATGATTAAACAATCACAATAAAGGGTTGCGTGATTAAAGTGATAGCATGTAGATAAAACAACAATACTATAGCACAACTATTAGTGCAGACACACACTCTATAGTATCATAGTAGGAATATTATAGGAATGTCATGGTAATATATTATAAATAGAGTATAAAAGTAAGTAGCAGTCACCACACATACACATTACAAGTCTTATTATTGTAGTAGTTGTGATTAGTAATCAGGTATAATTGTAGATGAACAGACTTAACTCACCTGAAGTTTTCAGAGTAAACTTGGGTTTACAGTCCTGACACCTGGGAGCTGAAAGTTGCCTTTACCTGCAGCTACAGTATGCTGCTGCAGGATCAGGACTCCCGGTCTCTCTCTCTCTCTCTCTCTCTCTCTCTCTCTCTCTCTCTCTCTCTCTCTCTCTCACACACACACACACACACACACACACACACACACACACACACACACACACACACACACACACACACACTCACTGGGTGATTGGAGGGCTTACAAAGTTTATTATCCAATGGCAGGGTAATCTTTTTGGGATATTTTTAAATTTCCAATTACTGCCAGTGAAATAATTTTTGTTATAGACATTATTGCCATTATAGAAACTTGTAATGCAGTTAAACTGAAACCAAGTGAACTAAATTATTTTTGTAAAATCTTATTTCATTAGATTAATCAAAATCAGCACAGTCAGATAATTTCATTTTAAAAAAGACCAAACTACTCTTCCACACTGTTTCATGCACTTTGACAAGTTATTTATCTTTTTCTTAGTTCTCAGTCAAAAGAAACTTGTAAACATAGATTTATGCTGAGATATCAGGACTAAAAGTAATCTGTTTTTGGCAGATTGTGCTGCCTGCCTCCAGAAGTCCCACCTGCTTTAAAGCAACTTCTCTTTTAAAGCATAAATCTATTTTAAACAATTGCAAATAACTTTTACATTTTCTTCTAAAACCTTCACTGGAACGTCTGTTAGTACAGCACGCAAAAGATAAAACGACTTGAAATATCTTGAAAGGAGCCAGATGTCCCTGCAGGAGGAAATCACTGACTGATTGAACTTGGTGGCCTGTTTAACTTAAACAACAGCGACATCTAAAGGTCAAACGCAGTATAGCATGTAATTCCACCACTTTGTGATCATTATGATTTTTATAAGACATAATGTTATTGTATAGCAGCTGTTTTCAATGCTGCTGCTCTTTTGCTATAAAATCTCACTAAACAAAATGCACTTGACTTAAATCAGTAAAGCTGATCAACACAGAATCATTGAGAATGTTTATTTATTTAATACAATCATTTTCACATTCATTATATCTTTCTGTCTAATACACCAGTACAGAAATCACTGCTTTCTTCAGACCAAAATAAAAAACCTTGGTCTTTCCCAACTATGTAATATTCAAGCTAATATTAAGTGATGCAAGTAGATTATATACAAGTACACAAACATAAATACAAATGACACCAATAAGTTGCTTGCCTCTCTTGTCCTGGGCCCATATATTGTTGTAAAGGTCTGTGCAGCTGCAGAAACCTTTTCACAAGTTAAAGTAGTACTTGTACCTTTTAATAACATTTGTTTTTACACACTAAAGACAGGTAGTAGAGTTTTTCCAGCTGTGACGTTTGGAAGATGAAGCATGAAAGGTTCACTGAAAAATCCTGCTTTCGATACCCCAGCAGTACCATCCCTTCCCCAGAAGAGGGCGCTACAGTTCTTCCACTGCGGACAACCAAACTTCTGGTCTGGATGGAATTTCCCTCCGGGGGTCACTTTAATCAGACATCAGAAGTTATCTTCATCATGATTGTAAATCTGTGAATATAACACGGGGGAGGGGGGATAATGCATAAACAGTTATAAATGATGCACTTAAGTAATATTTTAAACAAAAATCAAAAAAGGATTTTGCAAATGAATGCTAGAGGCAAACTTTATTTAAATACATCTCTCATTCAACCACAGTGCTCTTAGATGAGTCATAAAACAACATAATAAAAGCTGTGTGTTAAGGAAGAGGCCAAGTGCTGCTGCTCACCTTCCTCGTTATTTCCGAACCAAACCAATGAAGTAGGAGCAGATGCCTTGAAGTGACCTCCAGCAGTACTGCCGAGCCATCCTCTTAGCATTGCTCTCCACAGGCAGTGTCGTTGGCTGTGGACTGGTTCTCTGCGTGGTCTTTACCCTTGGTGGGACTCGAATGGGTTTTGTGGAAGCGGGCCTTGTGGGCGCAGCCGGACGAGGTTGAGGTCTTGAGGCGGCTGGTCCCATCCTAGAAGAAGCATCTGGCCATGACCGGGAGGAGGAAGCAGATGTGAAGACCATTTGAGAGTCATCAGTTGCCTTCCTGCACATGTGAGGTTGGATCTGCCTTGGCCCCTGGCAGGCATTGTGGAGTTTTCTGAGGCCCCACATCATCTGGACAAAGTAGTGACGAGGGTTTTTGTTGTAGGCGCGACAGGTGTAAGGCTTGCCCACATATTCACACCAGTAGGAGCGCTTGCTGCCCTGGCACGACAGCCTCAGCCTGGTGAATTCCCCTTGACCGGTGATGATCATGGTGCACAAGTCCTTTCCTTTGGTGTTGAATTTGATGGGTTCATCCCAGATGCTTTGCCTCCTGCCGCTGTTGCTCTGAGCCTGGGCTGACCGAAGGCAGCAGGCGAGCAGTAGGAGCAGAGCGCCAGCCTGGGTCCACATGGTGTCAGACGGATGGTGAGTGGAAGAGGAGGAGAGTGAGACTGCTTGAGCTGAGGGACCTTGCTGCTATTTATTGGCTACGCAGACAAAGAGGGAATTCAAGTTACAAAAAAAAAAAAAAAAAAAGCAGTCAGACTAAACAAAACTTGAACAGGGGGAGGAGGAAGAGGAGGGGGAAGTGACAGCATCAGTTATTGCTGTCTGGTGAAGGCAGGGGCCTCATGAGATGTTGACAATGATGCTCATGCTTATCCAGGTTTTATGTAGTAAAAGTACACACACATAAGAAAAAAAAAATCCTGAAGAACGAAATTATGTAAGTTGCATCTTATAGAACAATTTCTGACACATTTTTTTACGGTTTATGCAATCATGCAAACATCATAGTTTTCAATAATTCTGCAGTGTCTGCCGAGCACATCTCAATTAAATAGATGTACTTATGTAAACGAAGCCCTCCTGAAGCCCTCAAGTTCCTGCTTGTTTTAAAAGGCAGTTGGAGCTCACAACCATGCAGCGTAGCCTATCATTTCCCTCCAAACATAAACACAGTTAGACTGCACAACCACAAAGAAACGTGAGTGGAAGTCACTCACACATGGCCGACCAAGTTCAGCATGGAGTGTGGTTAAGTAGTTGCAGTGCCAATTAAAAAAGAACAAGAAATGTCTGTGTGAGACCAGGGGGGTTAGTATGGTTGTCAGGACAGATTGTGTTGGGTGGGGTCAGATATGTCTCAAGTGGCTTCATTTTCAGGCCCATCTAGAGAAAAAGGTCCCATTGTGAGTAATGTGGGACAAGTAGTCAGCACATCCGGAACAGATTTAGCTTTACTTAAGTGAGGTGTAGGGTCTTTGAAATTCTTTTTTCAAAACACACAATGTGTCACATAATGTTTTTGGATATACATAAAAGTATATATATATATATATATATATATATATATATATATATACTCTCACAGTTTTTAAATTAGGAGTTTCATGTTTATTCCATCAGCAACTTCATTTTTGAATTCAGTGTTTTGTCTTTTTTGATATGAAATTCCTAAGCTGCACTCCCATCTTTTGCTAAACACAAAATCACTGCACTCGTATTAGTCTTCTCTCCCCTACCCCCTGAGTGTTTGTGTTCCCTTGAGATTGCAGCATTTTCACTGGCACACTTTGTCTGATGTAAGTTTCAGCCTGTGTTCAAATGCATAGTTTAGCTGACCACTGGTGTGCATGATATTCAATTCAATACCCCTGCTACATGCTTAACTTCTGGTACAGTGTAATACATCTTTTTAAAACACATTTAAAAGACAAATGATGTGTATATGGAGCCCCAATAATTAATAGATTAATAAATAAAACACTAAGACTCCATTAAAATCTAAACATCTATAATGTAGTGGGATATGCTGCATTTTCTTTTCTGGCTCTCAACTACTGATTTTTTCTCATGACAGTAAACAGTATTAAACAGCATTTTAATTTGTGAGTACTGTTCTCCAGAGCCCCTTAAAGTGCCTGATGTTCCAGCTGTAGCAGGGTCAGTGTATATGGCTAAACATGGATTGTACATAAAGTAATGTACAAGTTGTACAGGATCTCGGAAATAACCATTCCAACACAGCGTTTGATGTGTAAATAAACACAATAAAAGAGATTTTCCCTGAACCGCTGCTTCTGTTTTTGAAGCATTTTTTTTGTTGTTCTCATCTGTCTCTTATACAAGACTAGTTAGAAGTAGGAATGAGTTGGCATGTGGTTTTGCTGGTGGTGTTTATTCACATACTGTTTGGTGCCTGAGAAAACCTCAGAACGAAGCTTATAGAAGAAGATAATCATCTCCTATTGAAAATAGCTGACCAGTAACGCAACCAAGTGGGTTTTGGCCAGCAGTGGCAGCACCACATAAAAATGTGCAGTGTGTCTTAAGTCTTAAGATATATTATGGACAGGATGTCTCATGCTATATCATTTGTTTTGCATCAAACATATTAATAAGTATTGTACATTGATTTTCAGTAGCACACAATTTCAATAGGCTATAGATTCTTATTTTCATTTAACTTCCCATTCTTGCTATTAATTCATATGGTAGGCTCTTTTTGTTGTTTTTGTTTTACTGAAATAATAAAACTTCCAGTCCAACCCTCATTTTGATTAACCTAAAATATTAAAAGCATGTTACCCCAAAATGCCTTATTCATAATAAGAGAACCTGCAAAATCAAAACAGAAAAAAGAATGACACGTTAAATAACATGATTGGATTTCAAAGTTTATTCACAATTTATACACTCTCTTTTCAACACCACATAAAAAGTTCCTCCTCAGTGGCTCCATCAGTGCCCAACACTGGAGCGTCACAGCTCAAACCACTGACAGCATCCATCCAGGGTTCGGATACACAATATCTAGTTTAAGCACTTAGTAAAATCATACCGTTTTTCTCCCAAGATGGGTCACATCCAGACTTTCGCAGACAAGAAAACCAATGATAGTCCTGTCAAAGTGAAGACACATCAAAAAATGTCCATCTTAACAAGAATCTGGGTATGAAACAAACAAACAAACGTAATCTTACGCTAACTGAAGCCATTTTGAATTTACACCACAGTAAGATTTTATTTCGAATATACACTAGGTAGCAGACGGCACAATGCTTGCATATACTATTACTACGTATATTGTAGTATACAATATTGTATATATAGTAGTAAATTAACCACTATATGTAAAATAAGAACGTTAGCTAGCTTTCTAGCTGTACCTACTAGCTAACTAGTTTGGATAATATTATAATAAGTATATTATATATCTATATTTGTGATTGACTATTCCTTTTGATTCGTGAAATTAGTTTGTCTATGTGACGTAAAGGTCATAAAAAAGGTAATGCGGTACGGGAGATGAAATATTTTCTGTAGTTTTCAATGCTAATGAGTCAGCTTTGTGGATCAAGTGACACCTTTGATGCAACAAGAAGCTAGCATCGAGGTTGTTTAAACATTGTGTCCGCTCTTTCTTAAAATCACCAAAATAAATTGAAAATGTTACTTATTTCATCTTGTTGATAGGTTTTTACTTGGTTAAATGTAAAATCCTATATGTTTAGTAGCCTACCCTTACATTTGGTACTGTAAGGTACTTACTGTTAGCTTATTCTGCTATTGCAATGTTAGAATACTCAGAGATAATAAGCCAGACGTGTAAAATTCAAACTTTCTGTGTTAAGATGGACATTATTTTTGACAGTGTGCATCAACACCACCACCAGAGTGCAGTGATTTTGTGTTTAGCTGTGTAGACCATAAAGCATTCTTCTGGTTTACTACTATTTGATTGACAGCACTCACTTGCCTCATGAATGGATTGTCTATAATCGTTCACCATCATAACTACGCTGACAGCAGCTGCAAATCTAACCTGTAAACATGGAGGTGAGGTGGGTGGGATTACTGGATTGGCTTGCCCAATGCGTTAGTGATAGAGTTCAGCATATTTAACAGCCAAGATCAATCAAGTAATAGAAAATAAAAGATAGCTCTTGAATACATTCACTTGTTCAATAATTCTCAAATGTATCCATAGCTACTGTGGGGTTTTAAAAAGCAGAAACAAAATAAGCACATAATGGATAGACCACTAAAGACCTGAGACCTACAGTAAAAAAAAAACAATTTGGCTTGAGAAAGTAGTATTTCTCCACTTTAAAAGTTTCATCACTATGCAAGCAAGAAATATCTCAGTAAAAATGTCCTGTTAGTGAACTCAACATGATAGCTTTCATTGTTAATGGATTCATTACCTATGGAACAATCTATAAGCATGACACCTTATTCATAGTGTGATATATTGAGAATGCTCTGACTTTATCATGTGACTTAAAGGGAAAATCCACCCCAAATACCTACACTGTTGGTAAACTGTTATTTGGTGATGCATTTTTTGATTGATGTTGTTTTGTGGTATATTGTTTCTGTGGTTAATGACCAAGAATTGATGGCAGGCTGTTGAGGTCAGATACAGCTACAATGGGGATGTGCTTCTTAGCTGTCTAAAACAGTGGTATTCAACCTGGGGGTGAGGCTCACTACATGGTCCTGAGAATAATCTGAGTGGTTTTAAAAACACATTTATTTTGTGCATTATGGAATATAAATACAATATTGTTGTCTGACTTCTCTAATCTTTGTGATTTTTCTTTTTTTCAGGTTTCAAAACCTATTGAAATCAATTAATCTGTGTAGGGAAAAAACTCTTTGGTTAAAATTTGTACCATCCATTGATATAGCCTATATAACCTGTGAGGAGGGGCTGCAAAAAATTTGAAGACAACTGGTCTAAAACATAGTTAGAATTTGGTGCCAACAGTTTACTTAATTCACATATTGATCAGCCTTATAGACCAGAATGCAGCAACTAGCGCTTGTACCCCTGATGATAAAGTCATCTCACCTTTTTATAATGAATTTGGGCTTGTTTGAAGGCATTGTGGAAAATGTAGGAAATAAAAGTCGATGACACAGGTTAAGGGAAAATAGATATGCTAAAAAGTAAAAGTAAAGGGTGAATTTTAAATGCTATACCACAAAATAATTCCTAGTACACATTTAATATCACAGATTGAGTTTTAGCAGTCTAAGAGCATCCATGGGTGGATTTTCCCTGTGTGTAGGAGCACATATGTCTAAATACCAGGGTGACACATAAATCTGAAAGGCAATTTTCCCCAAACCAGTCAAACTCTGGATGTTTTGTTATATTGTAAACATTTTTAAAAAAGTCATGCTAATTATTTTTCATTTTAATCACAAAAATCCACCTGGGAACAACCTGTGCCTGTATTTCTACCACTTTGTTCAAATCATCCAGGTCTCAGACATTAAGGTACTGCACACCATCCAACTCACACATGCTGCTTGTGTTGAATGTGATAACATCCATTTGAAGTGCAGTAGAAACAGCTTGCCATGACCTCCGAGTGACCTTTCAGCCACTGTCTTCTTACGCACAAACAAGTACATTAAAATGAACAGGCATCACAGTTATTGTTATGTCCTCTTGCTGAATATATATTTTCAGCTTTTTTTCTGAACAAATGTAAACGCAGACACAGCAGTCCTTTGAAAACGCACAACAAGCCTGGCTCAGATTGATGCTGAGAGAGAAGAGTTTGATGTCCTGCAGGCAGTGTTTCTTAGAGGAGTCAGAGGACATTGGGGAGCAGGTAACTGTACTGCAGGCTGTGATCTGCCTGTTTGAAGAGGTTGAGAAAAACATCCAAAGGGGTTCTTCTGTTGTAGGGAAACCAGCTTTTATCGAGCTTCTTCTGGTCTGAGGGTGTCGTGACACAAACAGCTTGAAAATAGATGGAGCAAAAAAAAAAAAAAAAGGTTTTGATTAGTAAACCCTAAATATACCAAATGTCCAGACACATATTCACATATTATTGCACATACATATTGCTGCACTTGTGTTCAGTCTCTACTGCTTTTTCGTAACTCTCTTCATGCTCTCTGCTGTCAGAAAAACTACACACACTCATCACATAAACCTTCTCTTGTAATAAAAAAAAAAACTTTTAGTGTGATCCAATAATCTCACTTGTTTCCAATACAAATCACTTCAGCCCAGAAATGTTCAATATCATGACAACCATGAAAAAAAAAAATCAGGTAAAACTGCTTTAAAAAGGAAGAACTGCTAGAAACTCTCATTTGGCATACTTTTTTAAAGCGAGATTAGATTTTCTGGCTCGATACGAATGTAAATTACTTGTTAAACGGGCATGTTAACAGCAATGGTTCTGAACCACTGGATTCATTACTATTGATCAGAGCCCATTCAGCTGCTGGATCAATTGCAACAGATTCAACTAGATGGCTTAAATCTAAAATGTAAAAATGTTAAGAAGGCACACTTACTATGGTGTATTTTAGTTCCAGTTTTCGAGGGCACTGGGAAGGCAAATATTGGAGAAAAATAAATTAGATTTTTTAAATATTAAGTTAACAATTTCAAAACACAAATTATTTTTAATGGCCCAGGAGACTAATGCGGCTCTGGCTGGGTTGTGAAATAACAGACATAAGAGTGCAGCCATGCTTTCATGAAGTCCCTCAGAGGGTTTTCAAAGACTGCATAGTGCTTAATTACTACTGAAAAACCCCAAACTAATGCTATGTATGCTGTATGCCATTCGGGAGAATATGTGACATTATGATAATGTGACATTCAGTATGATCATGCAACCTAATTTATACTTTCCTATAATGTAAACTTAAGTTAGCCATTGCCGTCTAAATCAGCAAAATAAATAAATAACTCAAATAATTTTAAGGTTTCACACTAACTAAAAATGAATGTCCCAATAAAGCCATAAAGATGGTCAGACAGTTTTGTAAATTAGGCAGTTTTCAGCACCAAATTAATGGGGAATAAGCACAGTCAGCATCTCTCCTCAACAGCACACAGACTAAGCAGTCACAAGTAGTCACACATAAATACTGTGAGCACATTTATGGTTCGTTAGTGACTCCAAAATTAGCATTTCTCACCATGATGGTTTTTACTGCAAAGTCACTGTGAGCAGAAAAGCACTAAAACAAGCTGTAAAAAAAGTGTTAGAGGGATTGGTTAGAGGAGTACATAAAAAAACACAAAGAAATATGATTAAAAAGAGAAGAGGGGTGGGGGCTGACGGCAAACAAACAGCAGATGACAGCTGTGCAAAAGAAAGGTTAAAGTTGGGAGGGAAGGACTAAAATGAAATGGTGTTAGAGAGACAGAGGTCTGAGGCGTAGGTTTCCAGTACCTTTCAGGAGCCAGAACAAGAGCCGGCTCTCTGTCACCAGTCGATGTGCCTCGGAGGAGCCGAGGCCCGTGGGAACCTGTTCATAGTGTCATAGGTAGGGATGCTACCGGCGCAGGGACACACACACACACACACGCAGGGCACAACATTAACAGCACAGACAAATCACCATTTTGTTACTAACCAAAGAGGAGTAAGACGAGTGGTTCATAAGGCAGAGAGCAGAACAGCTTTATCCACATCCTCTCAGGGAATAATGCAGATATACTTTACAGTCAGTTAAAGGGGCAATAGGGCTAAAGTTTTTCCTGTCTGAAAGCTCAAGATAATTATCATATTAGTGGGGTCCAACTAAAAATTTTGGTTTAATGTGACTTCACTGCTTTTGTCCCTTTACATGTTAACATGTTTGAAATAGGAACAGGAGGGTGAAGTGTCAGTGTTTCAGTACCTACTGTTTGTCGATAAAGGAGGTCAATAATAGTCATACAGTACTCTGTGCCCCTTTAAAATCATGCTTGAGTTTTGGTGATAAGTCTCAATCCAACATATTGTATTCATTTTAACAATTCAAGTTGATCACTCAATATTTTAAAAAAAATAATTACAGTTTCATCTTTGAAAATGTTCGGTTTCAAGTAAAGACCAACAAAATGTCAAATAAAATATTTTCTTTGGGTTTTACTTTCCAAGACAAGGCAGCATGCGATCAATAGGTGCATAGCTTCTTTCGGAAGGAAACTCCACTAGTTCAATACGTTTAAAAGATGATGTGAAGGACTCTTGTGGAAGCACAGTCCATCAAGTGTCTGTTCTTATCTATAATTTTGCTGTTTTGCTCTCTTCCTATAGCATCTGTTACAGTAGGGTTGCTGTCCAAACGCATCCTTGTCAAAATGCAACTTAAATATATATATAACATGCAGTTAGATGTTTTGTTAGCTGAAGAAGGAAAATCAATAGAGCAGCATTCCCAGCGTCACACCAAGGCTTGACATGCTTGCCTCTCTCTGAACAAAATGATCAGGTGTACATTCATCGGACTTTGGCTGACTCTAAATGAGAGGAAACAGGAAGATTTTTCATTCCAGTGCGCACACAGAGCATGCAGTAAGTTAGTGACATGGCAGATTCCCCCAAAACCACACAGCAGGATGTTTGGCAACAGGACTGAGGGAAGTAATGGTAGCAAAAATATGAACATGAGACAGACTGAGCAAAGGATTCTCAGTAAATCGCACCAATCTCATGTCTATGCATCAGATACAGAGTTTAGACAGTTTAGCTTAGCTTAATATAAAGACTGATGGCAAGGAGCAGCTAGCCCGGCCCTTTCCAAAGATAAAAAATATGATTATCACCAAAGTTAATACTACAACAGGACATATTCATTGCGACTAGCTGTTGACAGATACAACACATACAGTGCATTGTGTTAATATGTGACCTTAAGAGGTGTTGGTTTTCTTTTAATTTTAGACACGAGCACACACTCGCTTCCAGTCTCTATGCTAAACTAGGCAAGTTGCCTCTTGGCGCTAGCTCCATACTAAACACACAGACATGAGAGTGGTACTGATGTTTTTTGATAAAAGCACTGGAAAATACAATATGTCATATTGGATATTTTCTATTAAATGCTACCATTACTTTCACATCATTGTTCAACTTGATGACCTCTACATATAATGTATATATATGCGTGTGTGTATATGTCTGTGTGTGTGTGTGTGTGTGTGTGTGTGTGTGTGCAATGAATCAACTCCCTCAAAGGCATGCACTGTGTCCAGCCACATCAGTGTGCTTGTGAAAAGATCCACTTCCCCAGGCATGCCTCCACCTCCCACAACATGCAGTAAAAGGATTATTATAACATTTACCTTGTCAACATAGGATTTGGGATACCTTGTGAGCGCTCACTATGATAACCATTATTACCAATTTCCATACTGAAAACAAAATATCGTATACAAAAAAGGGATGAAAAATGTAACGTGAGAGACATGGCATGCTGATCAAACTTTTGGATTAAAAATGCTCTTTTTGAGTAGTCAAACTTTTCAAGAATGGTAGGAGATAAATATTTTTTTGTATAAACCATATGTTTTATTTACACTATAACTTACAAAAAACAGGTGGACTTGTAAGGTAATGATTGCAAGAGCCCTTCATGAAAGGTAAGGGGCACTTTTCAAAAGGTAGCACACGACAAGAAGCCACACCATCCACCCATAAGAGCAAATTCCAAGCTTAAAAACGTAAACCAGCACCAAGAATTTAGTAAACAATTCTATGTACAAGATCCAGAGAAAAGCACAGAGTGAAAGTGGTTGAAAAGGAAAGGGAGGTGGGTAAAATGTCTTACGTTTTCATGGGAATTGTCTCAATGCTATAAAGATACACAAAAAAACAACATAAAAATGTTATTGAAATGTTCAGCGATAGAAAGTTGCCTGTAATCCCGAACAGATCGCATGGCACGAGACACCACTGATTAGAGACATATATGTTGTATTTGTGTAAAGCTGGGATTAAAATGAGTCCAGTGAGTATGAACAAAAGGTCCACGAAGAAGAAATATAAATTGACAAATGTGTCAATGTTTCTTTGTAAAGTGCCAAGTGCTTGACAGAGAGGAATGACACCAAAAAATAAAGAATATGGAAGATGGAAATAGTAGAAATGGTTATCACAAAGTAAAATGCCAAGTCCCAGAAACAGAGGAACTACAAGGAAGAGAGAACGGGAGAGAAAATAAATCAACAATAAACCAGTAGAGCCACAGTGACACAAAAGAACCCCATAAAAGGCTGCATGTAAAACTCTTATTTTACTGAGCAAAATTATCTAAATGTTACCGAATGATGTTCAAATCCTTAAGTAAGGGAATCAGCAAACTACAAAAGAAAAATGTATTTATCTGCAGCTTAGCTAGTTATTAGTTGCATAAGAAGAAGCTCAAGAGAGAGAAGGATGTCCTGCAACCATTGAGAGCATAATATAAGGATATCATATCTCATTATATAAAGTATAGACTACAGAATGAATGTATATATGTACATATGCAGTTGTAAAGAACAAGTACAGCTACTCACTCGTCGTAAACATCCTCTGTTTCCATCCTGCGGTAGTACTTGGCTAGTTTCACTGCTAGGATGATACTCGGAAGCAGGAAGAGAGTGCTGCAGCCCAGGCCCATCCAGAATGTGTTCTGTGTAGTAATACAGGCTATTAGAGCTGGAACGATGTTTAACGAACACAGTATTAATCTGGAGTCATTTTCCCAGCAAAAATGTCAAACATTCTCGAGTTACAGGTTCTTTTTTTGCTGTTTTCTGGGATAGGAAATTACATATTTTTGGGTTTCAGACGGTTGTTCAGACGAAACATGCAATTTGACAAATGTCACCTACATTCTTCCATTGTTTTCTGACATTTAATGGACTAAATGATTATTTTTTGAGAAAACAACATGCAAATGTATTGATGGTGTATTAAATCACTAGCTGCAGTTCAACAAAATTATTATTATTAAAAACTGTTGTAAATTTGTATGCCCCTATATGCATATTTTGATCTCCCCTATAACTGTGTGAAATACAACTTACATCAACTGAGATTTGGCGAAAAATATGTAAGCAAACCAAGTTTCAACAAACCAAAAAAATAAAGCATAAGTGTTGATGTGGCTTCATACCCACCTTTATAAGCAAAATCTTTATATACTGTATGACGTTGCATTTAAAATGTTTCTTTGCAAACTTTAATTTATGAGATAACCAAATGAACTGCAGTCAATCAGCTGTTTTACCTAACCCCAGTAAGCTACAGCTAACCACTTAAGTTACTTGTATAAATGGGGTTTGTTTCCCTCTATTCCCTATAATTACCATAGAGTCGACAAAGAAGCTGCAAGCAAGAATTTCTGACGTGTCCACCATGTTGCTGAAGGGCTTGCATGGAGCAACCTCCATGGCCAACTATGGAGAGCAAGATATAAACAGTAAACAATCGCAAACAACAGATTCATAATACTGTTCTTCAGCAGTAACACTGTAACACTGTCTCCTTACTTTGTGTGACACATTCTGTTTCCTGCTCAGTAACATGTAATCCTGTCTTGTTACCATGTTACTTGTCGAAAGTGTGTGAACATTGCACAATACATCCCTATACTTTATATGTTCAGATCTGAGATCAACAAAACAGCTTCAGGCTTTAAACATGTGTTGTTTTTTTTTTTTTTGAATTCCTTAAGTTAACTACAGCAGAAACCAATGTACCACAAAGCAAATTCCTTCAATTTATAGAGGTTGTGATTGTTATATTTGTCTTCTCTATATTTACTCCAAAACTCCCTTATGTAACATGCGAAGGTATTTCTGCCAGTACACAACTATGTGTTCCACCACTGTTTGTTTTACTAAGAGTGAGATAAATATTGGACTGAACGTATAAGTCAACACTTGCACACTGCACCGAAAAGTGAGAGTTAAGAAACCACAACAGCTTCATATTTAACAAGTTAACACACAAACACTTACAGATGTTTTGACCCATTCTATGTACTGATGGAAGTAGCCAACAATGGTCGCTGTGTATTTCCCTGTTTCCTGAGGAAGATTAAGACATAATGTGAGTTTCAGACCGTTTACAAATTGAGAATATAAGCAAGTGATGCTTCAATTACCCGTTTGACTAAATGTGTAGCATTCTGGGAGATGAGGTACTGGGCAGCTTCGATGGCATCGAGAACTGCTAGAACTTTGTTCTGCAGAGAGGAAGAGTTTTTTTTTAGCAATTTAAGACTGAATCTAAGCCTAGATTTCAGATTCAGACTGAGGGGCTGGTTCACTTACTGGCAGGTCTGAGGCTGTCCTCTCCAGGAACCTCATACTCTGGTTCAATGCACTCTTTAAAAGGGAAATTAGGAGCACAAATTAACATCAGCAATGTCAAATGAGAGCGGATACAGTCAAGAGTCATTTTAACACCTGGACGCCAGTAAAACACGAACGGAGATCAGGCAAGAACAAAACCACTTGATGAACAATGTTTGGCTTTCAGTACAGGCATGCAGAAGAATTTTGTTCCAAAATGAAATATCCACTATGTAAATGATTCAGTTTTGCAATTGCTTACATACACTCTATGTAAGAATTGAACTGTTTTTCTTTGACGGAGTTACAAAATGAATACCTGAATTAAACTAACATTTCTCTTCCTAAAGTGGATATTTTGTAATGTTTTGGTACAAAATCCTTCACGTTCAACACCATAGAGTCCATGATCTTGATGTAAATGCAAATACAAAAACACACACAATACCCTACAATACCATACGTCATCTGTGAGATAAAATATCTCTCTAAATGATCCAAATAATGAATGGGCACACTATATACACAGGATGGACACATTTCTGCTTACCCTCGCTCTAACATATTTCTTGAAGTTGAAAGTGGAAAAGTAAAAAAAAAAAAAAAAAAAAAACAAAGAAAAACATAAAAAGCTGTTGTAAAAGCTGTGTTCAAGTGCATCACTGCTTGTCTGAATTGCTAGTAGCTGTAAATCCTTGGTGTTATTCAAAAGAATGGCATTGCCTTTGACACAGAAAAGAAAACTGAATATTTAATTTGCTTGTCACAGACTTGACATGCTTGACAACACATGCCTGAGGGTCAGAAACATTTTGCTTTTGATGATGTTAAATGAAATGCTGAAATATATTTCCTCTGTCAAGGATGATACCATTCTCTTAAATAGACATCCGCACAAGGGTAACACACCAATTACTCCTACTCAGTCGCTCTGGCATATACATTTTAGAGAAGACTTTATTTTAACATGCATTAAATTGTTTTTTTGGGCCACTAGGGGGCAGCACAACACAATCACCTTTTGGAGTTGTTAGCAAACTAAACTCAATTGTCCAATATTCAGTTTCATATTGTTCTCATTCTCTTTAAGCTCTGTTTTGGTTTCAACCAACTCCTGAGGGAAATAACTGGCTCTTTAGCAGCTAAATTCTCCAATAAACCAGCTAATCATTACATTAGTCTGTCTAATGTTCGGTGGTGAGCAGGTAGTGTGCAGTGGGTTCTAAAAAAAACAGCTGCCTGTGGTGAATGAGAGCGGTGAACCAAAACAGTAAAGTTGCGGATCACAAAATCAAAACAATGAGCTGAAAGACACTACATAGAGCTGATGGGAACTGCAGAGCTGGGTGACAATTCTCTTTGAGTTTGTCACTACTTTCACAATTGATCCATTTTTGATATAAAAATATTGATTAGACAACCTTTACAGTCCAAAGTTCTGATATTTAATGCAACAAATGCTGGCAATAAATCAAAATTGGCAAAGAATTATATTGTATAATATATAAGACATGTCTCATACAGTAGCCAGTGACAATATAACCTTAAAAGAAATCCACTTTTGTTCTGTTCATTTCTGTCTTTTCATCTCTTCATCTTCTGAAATTATTTATTTCCTTAATTTCCCAGAATACCTTTAAGCAACACCCCAGACAACAATGAGGTGAAAACATACTGCATTTACTTGCACTTGCAGCAAAAGTAGAACAAGAGCTGGAAGTTTTCACAACAAAAGCATCCTTCAGTCAAAACACAACATTGTACTTTGGTCTTTTGAGGCCACTGTGGGTGAGAACATCGGTCTATGCCTCCTCTACATTATACGCCTTTTGTATGACTGCCAAACTCAGAAAAAATATGAAAAAGAACAAATGGAAAATTGAAAACTCTTTGTATAAGGCACAATTCTAGCTTGAATATCATCATTATTATGCCATGTGGGTTAGAAGAACAATCAAGTCAAAAATCAAATGAATACAAAATACACAAGTTGCTTTCGCATTGTTTTTAAATAGTTAAGCATGTTTCCTTTAAGGGGACAACTAAACAGAAAATCTAACCAAGAACCCGGAGTCTAGCCAGGCATGAATATCCGTACTGAAAACAAAGACGCATAATGGGGCATTACCATGGCCTGCTCCATGGGGATGATCTGTTGACTGTGGATCTGCCGCAGAGTGCCGACATGGCCTTTCAGAGCGGTATGCAGAGCGCCTCTGGGCTGAAACACACACACACACACACACACACACACACACACACACACACACACACACACACACACACATTAGTGGCATCTTGCGGCGTAGTTGCAGTTTGCAACTCCCTCGCTTCGTCCCTCCCCTTCCAAGCGTGAAGGAGAAACTATGATGGCTGCGAAATGCACATAAAACGTCAACACCCCTATCTTGTGCCAGTGTTCGGTTTGTCCCTTCTGGATTACTGTAGAAACATGGTGGTTCAACATGGCGGATATCATGAAGGTTACCTACGGCCTCTGTAGATATAAACGGCTCATTCTAAGATTAAAAAAACAAACATAACGATTCCTATATTCAGGTGATTATACACTAATGGAAACACTGGACCTTTAACAATAATGCAGTCATGGAGAGCCATCGGATGCACACTTTAAAAGGGTCTTAATTTAGAGAGTAACACAATAGAATAATAGACCCTTTCTTTGAATTAAACTAACTGTGAGCTCCATCCTTCTGGAGGGTCCTGCAGGACCTACCCTTGAGAGGTGAATAAATGTGTTGTTTTAGCTTCCTGAAACCCCCTGAAGGCATGGCAGAGCAGCCAGACAGCTCCCAGAGAACAGCAGAGCTGTTGTGTTTTGGATGTTTTGGACTAAGGACAACAAAATCCACCAAAGTGCTCCCATGGCATTGTAAATAAATAAGATAATCAAATTATGTCTCTGTGAGCTAAAGAAACACTGTGAAACTGCACAGAGTCGATGTTTGTGTATCAGCCAGAACAGCACCAAGGTGTTCTTACCATGAGGTCTGTCTGGGACTCCAGCTCTCTGGCAAATGAGAGCAGGTCCACCACAGTGACTCCTTTGTTGACCTGAAGATAAACAAGTATAAAGAGAAAAAAAATCAAAAAATAATAAATAATTAGCTGCTTAGTTAGAAAGTTGTTTTTATTTATTTTTTTTTTTTTTAGTACACATTTAAAAAACTCCTCTGCACCTTGGAACAATGCTCAAGTTAAAAAATAATGACGACAAGGATAAGACTGAACTGCACCACATCAGTGCCTCTTTTCCTCCAGCATTATCTTAATGAGGACACATTCAAGTACTTCATTATAATGAAGAGTAAACATTTATTATGTAAAACAAAAGTCCTCTTTCAATTGTCTTTAAAACTGCCAAATAGATAGAACTCACTTAATTGATGCTCAGCATCAAATCATCAGTCTTTTTAGCTGCAGATCTGAATTCAATAAATTTAATTAAGTGGTTGGAAACCTGCAAACTGTATGGGTGCTTTCTGTGATGGTGGCTTACGGTATGTTTTTACGTAAATATTTTCCAATCTGAGACATTTTATTCCAAAAAAGAACAAAACAATGCAACATGCAGAGAAGCAAACATTTGTTGGACAGAAAATCTCTCATCCTGACTTTTGGAGAGTGTGTGAGTTGTGTATCAGGGCAGGTGGTACACTTGAATGGAGTCCTTACAGCTTTTTTCCCCCTGCTCTATCAGGAAATAAATCTAAGTGAACCTGACAGTGAGTGTTGGAGAAGACAGGGAATGCCAAGTCCTGGCTTGTTCTTACACACTCTTTGCCTTGGCAGGAATACTTTTGGATTATCGAGCTTCAGCGGTCCTCAACAGAACCCGGTGTACTGTGTCATGTTGCAGCTCATATTAGGTAAAGCACGGCCGCCTGCTGTATGTTAACTGACAGCCTGGGAGGAGGCTGTTCAACCCGAGCCTTAGGAGCCAAGCTATTTCTGGTAACATACTGTTAATGTACAACTGTAATGCCATAATATTAGTATATGTCGAGAACAATCTATTATCAATATTTACACTGATCTTTCAATAGAAACTGGCATTTACAGAGAGCTAACTGATGTCATACAGCCTCCTATTACGATCTGACAGTAAAATACAGCAAAGATTCAGTTGACCTTTATTCTGTCATATTTAGTTACTCTATTTATACGCCTGTCCATGCACTTTATGTGTAAATTCTTCATACTTATTCCACCCATTCAGATGTGACTGTCAGCATGCATCTGTTTATGTATTTATGAGAGTATATGTGCATCACCTCTTCCAGGTAGTCTGCATAGTTGATTTCTGACAGCCCGGCCTCAGAGAAATCCAGGAGGTTCTGCTTCCCCTCTGCTTCTAACAGGATTATTCCCCTCAGGTCGATATTAACACTGTCCAGCTGACTCACAACGTCCTTCGTAAACTGTAAACACAAAAAAGATACAGCAATAGGTTTGATAAGGCCTGCAGGTAAAACATTACAGCTTGACTTATTGGAGCTTATTCTAATGTAGCTGAATGCCTTAAAGGTAAAGGTAAATGTTTGTGTATTCTTAACCTAACATTAAAAACCTTCAGTACTTTGGTTATCTTGGAGCTTCACAGGTGTACAGCTAGATTATGTACCAAGATTTTTTCCAGTACAGTTTCTGTTGGAAAAGCTGGTTATTAATCACAGTTTAAGTGAAACAGGAAATTACTGTAAGTGTACATAAACATTGTCGCCAACAAAAATGCAAAACAAATGTTGGCACTAGGGTGACCAAAGATCTTGAAGATGTGGTTTGGATGGAAGTAGTTACATATCCCACTAGAATTTTAGTCCTTGATGTTGTTTGCTTGGAAAGTTTGTACTGTTTGTACTGTAAATTACAGTCCCTATTAATGCACTTCTGCACACAATCCCTTACTTTTTTAGTTTTCTGTTTCTTTTATATTTAGTTTTAATGCCTTTTATGTCTTATGTAAAGCATTGTGTATTGACTTGTTGTTGAAAGGTGCTAACAAACAAACTTGCCTTTCCTTAATAGGAACATATAAACAAATTGGAATGCAAAACTCACATTTCTCAACCAGCAGAACTATTCCTTCTGGGCAGACATGAGTAGAAGCAACATTTCTACAATGACAGGTTTATGTGTCAATAACTATAAATAACTTTGTAATATTGTTTATTAGGTTTTGAATTTCTCGCCTGTTCTGGAAGCCTTAACCATAGAGGGACATAGGTTGGCAAATGTGATTTTGAAAAAGGATGTCTTGAATAGTAATATGCAATTTCACCACCAAAAACGAAAACATATGCTTTTTTATGGATATATAAAAAGAACATAACAAAAATGTTGGCAGTAAAGTTGTTTGTTCCAAAGATGACATGGTAGTTAGTAACACTGTATGTTAATGGGTTGGATTTCCTCTAACACTAAAAAAAAATGTCCAACGTAGTACATTATTCTAGCTACTTGGTACATAAATCTTCAGACAGCTTTTCAAACAAGTAAAAAACAATCTTTCAGAAGGGTGAAATGAACAGATTAACTTTAACTTAAACATTTGCATGCACTAAATGAAGACAAATGACCAATGTGCAGAACCAGACACAGCATGGGACACATCAGCTGTTGGCTAAAACGAGCCAGGACAATCTTGCCAGCTGGCAGGAAAGTACTGAGCATGTTAGGCAGGCAGAAGTGGCTGGCTCTGGGTCAAAAAGAAATAGAAAGTTACATCAGTGTAATGCCTGGCTCAGGCATACACTGAAGTAAGGGCTGAGGCATGATAAGGTTATTGGCCGTCAGCACACACTTTGGTTTGGCAGCAAAGAAATCATTAGGTAATGCTAATGAAACGCTGCAGCCAAGGATGGAGATTTCTGGACACTCCAGCACCGTTAGCTTATACATCTATATGTCCAATTTGCATATTATACTAATTCTAACCCTGGTTTGAGCATGTAGTACACTGCATTGATTTATTGTATGTTAGTATTTTGTTAAGCTTTCTAGTATTCAAGTTATTTTAATCACATAATTGTATTGCTATGATAGTCACGTCTGAACCTAATATCCATATCCACAATATATTTTTTTAATGTCTCCATCAGTTAGGCTCTATACGGGCTAAAGGGATGAATCAATACAAATACATTTGGCAGAATGCTACTAATGTGTGTGCCATGAGTTTACTGACCACTGTAGTGTTCAGGAAAGAGGAGATGTTGAAGACTTTGTCCAGACGCATAGCTGAGTAGATGCCTTTGTTCTTTTTACAAGTACTGAGAAAGAAACACACATACAAACAGATACACACAGGTATGACAGGGAAAGAGGGAAAGGGAGAGAGAGAGAGAGGGAAAGGGGGAGAGAGAGAGAGAGAGAGAGAGAGAGAGAGAGAGAGAGAGAGAGAGAGAGAGAGAGAGAGAGAGAGAGGGGAAATGTCAACTTAAAAGTGTCAGAGTCAGAATATTTGCTGCCACCAAGTGAAATTGACTGGAAGTACATGACACACGGACATGTTCCCTGACATAAAACAGCATAATGTCCCTCAAAAGCCTGGAATATTTGTGAATATGTCAAAGATAACTGTGCCATGATTACATTTAGGCAGCCACATGCCATATAGACTCACATAATGTACATAGCATTAGCACTGCTTGTTTTTTAATGAGCCAACACTTGTTGAACCAACATTGCTCTATTTGGAAACTTAATGACTGCAGGTCTGCCATCCCAGTTACTGAGGATATGCAGCTCCTGACTGGAGGGAGATGATGAAAGCTGATGTAATCACTGAGAAAGAGGCTGAAGAGAAGCAGCACAATAGCATAGAAAATTATGCTAATTAGCTACTCAAGGTTAATAGTAACTCTCTCTCATTTGCATCCTCATCAATAGAAATAAAATATTCAGTGGCACAACTGATGCCTGACTCTACGCTTGTGCAGGAACAAAAAATTTAAGCAAAATGTGAAAAACTGCATCAGTCAGTAATTCTTCAGCCTATAATTGAACAAATAGCTTGTCTTGCTGCAAAATCCATTCAGTGTTGTAACTAAACATAAACATGAAATGCAGAGAAGGCCGATGTGGAGTAGGCCGTGAGGAGAATAATCATCATCAAAGCATTGCTTCTGAAAGGTGGCAGACAAAACACTGTCACCTAAATACATAAAAATGAGTTTGCTTTGCCTGTACAAGCTCTCTGCCGTCAGCTCCAGGTTGGAGTCGTTGTACATGTAGCCAGGGATGAAGTTCTTCCACTCTGGGTTGACCAGATATGGGGTGTCCACAACCTGGCAAATCAGAGATCCAGAAAGAGGGTGTGTGATCAGTAACAACAGCAGGGCTGCAGGTTTAACTTCTGCAGGATTCAGACTTACAGCATGGCACTCACAACTGTGAGCAACTACTATTCTCCCAGTCCCACCCAAGGGACACTGACTTGTGAGCAGTAACTAGTACAGAGGAGGAGCAGTATCCATACAGTCAAGGGCACTCTGAATGCACAAAATTAAAAAAAAAATATGTTCTATATGAAAATTAAGTCGATATACTACTTGAGATGTACTTGTAATTTGCAGGGGTTTTAACCGCTGTATAATTTACAGGGTGTACTTATTACTTGCCTTGAAGACTTCTTTGGTGTGGAACGGTTCACACACCAGTTTCTCCATGTTTCCTCCAGCCAGGAAGATGGTGGTCACCACTCCCATCAGCACCCAGGAGAAGATGAAGCTAAATCCAACGCCGCTGTGGAGAACGACAGACAGGCCCTCAGGTACAGTGGAAGTATAGAACAATGAGAGATGGAGGCGTAGCAGAGGTGGAGTGGGTGGACTGGTGGCGGCCTAAAGCTTCTGTCACAGTAAGCATTGTCAGCTCATTGTAAAAGGCAATGTATATATTGTATAGGGAGGGAGAGGGGAATTAAAAGAAGCAGTATCAGTTTACCTTGGATCTGTATCAGTATCTTAAATTAGATTACATATTAACGCAATACACAAATCTGACATTTAGAATACATTAGGAGATAGTCCAAATTCAGACTTCTAGAACCAATTTTAACTACAAAAGAAAAGTTTGTATGAAACCCTTAAAATCCAAAGTATGGGATCTTATGGGAACTGGTTCTGCCAAAAAGATCTTTATCAATTTGTTCAGATATTCTATCACATATGATTTGTTTACATGAGCTTTCTTTAACAAGAACTCCTCTAAGTTGACTTCGCTCTTGATTCACAACTTTTACATGATTGTGATTATATGCTTTGGTCTTCTTTACCTTTTACTGTAGCATGTAAAGGGAAATAATATAGCGAAGTGGCAGTAGTAGTGGCAGCTATAGTACTGTAGATGTAGATAGTTTAAGTGCTAGTGGTCCTCCTGTCATAACAAGTAGTAATACACATACTAGTAGTAAGGTGTACTGTGGTATGTCCATCACTTGACTTGAAAACCTTTTTTATGGCCACACCTTCTTCAGTTTTAACTCTTGAAACTGACAGAGGCTGTTTTTGGGCAGTTGACTCACGCCATGAGCATTGTTCCTCCTGTGTTCGAGATGCAGCCTCGTGTTGTAGGTGAAGCATGCTTGTCGTATCCCAGGGTGCCACACAGCAGGCCCAGGTAATTGAAGGTCAGGACCAGGACCACCATGCAGCAAAGAGCAATACAGCCAATCCACCTGTAAGCAGCAGACAAAACTAAACAGTTAGAACACAAATAGGACAGTATCATCCTCAGCTAATAGTATATTATTGTCTGTGTGTCCTGCTAGAGTGTTCTCTGCCCGCTTTCTTAGTAGGAAAAAGTAGATAAGCTAAATGGGGTAAAGTAAAAATGTAATACAAAGCTTTTAAAACAACTAATATATCATCTTGGGCTTCCCTCCACTCTTCTATTTTAAACTGAATTAATGTCAAAGTGAATATTTCATAAATGCAAAATATTAGTGCAAGTTATGCAGCACATAAACTACTTTTACAGTAGCCTGTAAAAAGAGTCTGGTCATGGACCACATTTCACAATATACACTACTTAGAGTTTATTGGTAATAAACCTATTATAGGTTTTTTTTATTTATGTCAGTAGGTGAGTTTACCTGTAGAAGTCCATTTTGTCAATTTCAGGGTAGTAGTCCTCAATCTTGGCATGGACATGGTTGACAAAGATACTGAAGTTGGACAAGCAACTCTGCACAGGGAATACCTTGGAGAAGCTGCTGATGTTATTGCCAATGCCGTCAACCAAACCCTGTATACCTGATAGACAGATCATTCAATTAATCCATCAGTTTGAATAAATGGCCCGTGTAAAGATACTTAAAAAGAAATAAAGCTGATTAATATAACGGTACCAAACTACATCACTACACGGATTATATTTTTAGTTAGTAGATATATTCTTACAAATTCAAATTTAAAATACACCTAATAGAGTTAGGTGACAGAGTAGGATTACTTGTGTTTGCTTTCACAGGAAAGGTTTTAGAAGTGTGAAATATCACTTACTTTCCGCAACACTTCTGGTCTGTTCAATCACCATATTTGGCGTGTCGTTCAAAGAGGAGTAGCCCTGTGAGAGTAAAAGGACATGTTAGAACATGCAGTTTCTTGGTCAATTTAGTTGTTGGAGCATTTATTCATTTATTTTCTTTTTAAAATTAAAATAGCTATTCAGAAGCATTCTGTAAAATGCTTGAAATCACTAACTGAAGCAGTAGACAAAGCACCTGAAGGAATGACGGTAGCACTGAAATAAACCACACGCTGAATAACATTACAGACTGACAATGCCAACAATGTAAGAATATTTATTTATACTCCAGGCTCACCCTCTGGACGATAGCACTGAGGTCCGTTTTCAACACATCATTCATCTTTTCCAGCTGAGTGTTCACATTGGGTAGCTACAATATAAACAGACAATGAAATAAATGATCAATATTTAACAATTCTGATCAATATTCAGTGTTGTAGCTACAAAACCTTAACCACAGCTTTAACCCTGGTTTTAACCATGACCCATGATCAAAAACGGATTAGTTGCCACATCTTAACCTTAAGATTAAGGTTAGTTGTTTTATTTGCTCACTAACCACATTCCAATCACCTGCCAAAAAGACTAAAATTTCTAAGAATATTTACATTTGTGTCCATATGCATATTATGTACATACAATAATTTGCATATAATCTGTATAATACTTTTGCATTCAGTTTTGTACCCGTGTAAAGTTGGCGCTGATTTGCAGCTGAGACAACGACTGGCGGATATTGCGACACAGCTGGGCAGACGTGGCGTCTGACTTCTCGTCATGACAGCCCGGGTCATTGAGGGTGCGGTTGATACTGGTCCGAACCAGACTCAGGTTGAAGTTGAGTTTCCCCGTTCCTTCCTGGAGGAGCTCCAGACCCACACTGACATTCTCCAGGGCCTCCTTGGTTTCTCGCATGGCTGAATTGAAAGAGACCACAGATGAGATTGAAAGTGGATTGGGTTACTGGTATAAGGGGAAAACCAGTGAAAAAAATAATTCCCATCAAAACTCTCTTACTCTCCTTGACATTTAATATCAACATACAGAACAAAAGGACAATCTAGAATTGGCTCATGTTACACAAAATCACAGACTCATACAGGACACAAAGAATGCACTCATTATAAGGACCAGGCCTGAGCCGAGTATATCATACTGACTTTCGGATCCAAACCCATTTTGGATTTGGAGTGTGTCTGTGGTGTGGTCACATGCTGGTGTAAAACTCCAGCATCTAAAATCAGACTTACAACTGCCTGACAGCATTGCTTTCGGCAAACAATAACCAAACAGCAATGCTATGAATAATGTGAATTTGTTAGCTTCTATTAAAGATTGTTGCTGTTAGTAACTAAAACAACAGCCAGCGTTAGTTAACAATTCCAGAGTAGCCTGCAGCAGACTTAAAAATAAGCAGGATAAAGAATGCAAAAGCATTGGCATCCTTGAACATTGGTATAAAAGATGCAGGAGTGCAGGAGAGGAAACCGAATTTACAATCATATGGCTAAATGCTTATCAGCACTGGAAGGAGTGAAAACACAGATGGATGCTATATGCTAAATGTATAAATGCCATATTCTTTCCCACTGAAATATGCTGTGTTTATGAATCTTCCATAGGGATACTCAGATCCTCTGACTGCTCAGCTCAGCCCCAGTAAGAGCACAACAGTACACAAACATTAAGAACACAAACTGAATTCACAGTCATCTGTGGTCAGGTATTTTACCACCTGAACTGTTGGCATGCTTGCTGACTGCTTGTATATTCCATGTAGTTGAACATCCATATACAGCTGCTTGTTGTAATACATAAAGTTAGTAAATAAAATAATACTTCCGTAGTTAATTTAAGAGTTGAAATAAAATAACAAAACTGGTCACACAAACACATCACTTTTTGATGCTCACTTCACGCTGGGAGAACACAATTGGAGTAAAAAGGGACGTCCAGGTGCAGGTTGATGTTATGTCAGGTTTTTGGCCAGATTTGGTGATTCCATTAACTTAAAACTGCACTAGGCAAGAATTGTTATGGGAAGATGGAACATGGAAAAACTCACTCATTCATTCTGTTTGCCTATAAAAACTATTTATCTGCTCACAGCATTAGCATAAAGTGGTGGAGAATTTGACTGTAAGAAATACAAATCTTTCTCCTTTAGGATAGCAGGTAAACACTGGATCCAGACCAAGCCAGGCTTGTAAAGGGGAGAAAATTAAAATGATATGGCGTTACATACTGGATCATGAGGTTCATCACACAAAATTATCTGCCATTTGTGGGCACCAGAGTCAGACATTGCGTAGTGCAGTTTTATTATATTAATTGGTTGTAGTTCATTAAGATGTAACTCAGAGCTCAGAGGCTGATTTGTAGCTGTATGTAGGCTTTACGTTGAGACTACACTGCACCTTACGCAAGTGAACTACACCATTGTGAGCATTCATACTTGTGAGCTGGTGTGTCTGTGTTACTTTATGTCCCTGTGTTGGGTGTCTTCAAAAAATGGTGACTGAAACTAAAACTCTCCCTCATCTCTCTCCTCAATCTGTTTCAAGTCTGTCCTGTGTTTTCCTTTTTCTCTCCGCCGCCGCACAGGACAAGGGGACAGACAAGAGCAGATCATGCAGTGACGCAGCGTCCCACATGTGCCTGTTTGTCTGTGTGTGAGGACACACTTGTCTGAGAATGTGTGTTTGAAGTCGCCTCCCATTCTCTGACCATGCACACACACCAAATGGACCAATCACAGTCAGTGATTGTTTTTTGTCGTTACAGACACAGTTACACAGTTTCTGGGGAGGTGCACGTCAGGCTACAGCATAGAGTGCGAGGCTACGTACGAGGCTGCCGTACCTATGCTGTACCCACGGGTTTGATTCGACGGAGAAGTATAAATCAGGCTTTAGTGCTCAAGGAAGATCACAAGGGAACAAATCACGGGAGCGACACTGGTGTCAAAGTTCACAAGGTCAGGGTTTAAAAGGTTTGTGGGTAGTCGTCCAGTCACTGGGTCACTGTTACCTTTGATGGCTCGCTGGATTTTCACTTCATAAAAAAGCATAAAATGTAAAGATTTGAAAACTCACTGAAAGCTAAAAAAAAGTATTAAAATTAGACTTCAGAAACGTTAACTGTTCACAGCAGAATATGTCAACTATAACAAGTGATTTAATCGTCTTCACAGTTTTAAAATCATATTACAGCATATCTTTAGTGGGGAAACATCTGATAATAGTTATAATTCCACTAGTGTGCAGTTAAATAATTCTTGCAATAACTGACAATATTTGCTAGTAAGGCAGGATACTATATGTCATTTAATGCTGTAGCCTGCATTCAGTAGCTTGCAATAACATGATCATATCATAACTAAAGAGGAAATGAAAAATGTGTGGGTGTACCTCCAGCCATATTGAGCACTCTGTCCAAGGCAGGATGGACCTCCTTATCCAGCTGATCATGTATCCTTCCACCCAATAATGGACCTATATCTGTAGAGAATGCAGCATCAGATCAACAGAAGAAAACAGTCACATAGTCCAAGTCCATTTCTCTATTATGTTTGCTGCTTAATGCTGCATTGGCAGTTCTTAACTTTCAGGAAAGAGCTGCCTTCAGTACTGTTGCAGGAGAAAAGTAAGATGACTACTCAAGGGAATATTCTTTAACAGTCACCGCTTTATCTATCTAGACCTAGTTATGTCACACATCTGTTGCGAAAACAAGTCAAAGACAATAGACACAGTGAATTCAGATAATAAGCATGATATACAACCAAGAGCAAGTACTCTGTGAATCGCTTCTGTCCGCTTAATTCACTATCAGAGGCACAGAGAAGTTCTACTTACTATGTAGGTCATAGATGACTTTGTTCTTGGCTGTGGCGTATTGGGATATTAGGTAATCAATTTGCTGCAAACAGGAAACACAACAGAGCAGAGCAGAGTCTTACAAGCAGATAAAAAATTATTGTATTAGTCTCGTCATAGACACCAACAAGCACTCTGAAGTATAGCACAGTTTCCATGTTATTTGTCAAAATGAAATGGAGACGATGACAGAATATAAAACAGGTCTTTATAAACATCTAATGTTTAACAAACTGAGCATTCTGTTGGATTTTTGTTCTCGAAACACTGCCAATTTTACACTATGTACAAGTAAAGTGAGAGAAGCCTGAGCTCCTGAAATTTCATGGAATGAGAGTTATGTTTTAAAAAGCAAATTTGCACCTGTCATGTGCACAAAAAGTGAGAAAATTATTCTTTTTTTCCCACCTTGACTAAAAACAGTATCAGTTAAACACAGAAAAGCACACACCCACTTTTCCTTTAACACTGAGATATGAAGAATGTTTCTCATTTAAGTAACTCCTTAATGCTAAAAACAAATGATTTCACCAACTAAGGTTCCTACAACTACTAGCAGTACCTTCACACAATCAGGAAACCAATTGCTGTCCTACTGATGGTATTGTTTTAGAATGTAATTTGTAGGATTGTTACACAGTATCACAATATACAAGAATATGCATTGACAACACATGAAGTAAGTGTACATTGTATAATATTGTTTTGGGGCTATACGTCACAAAACAGAGTGATAATTCTCTATCTACATGTTCCATAGAATAACTCTGTCTCACCATTGGCGTGTCATTAGCGAAGGTGTGCAGGTCCCTCATGTTGCTGTTGACCAGTCTCCGTATGTTCTTCACCTGAGAGCTCAGGTTCTGATTGGCAGCATATGCGCACAGTACTCCAATCCTAAACAAATGACAAACACAAACACATTGACCTTTCCGTCTCCACGTGCCACTGTGCATGACCCTGCTGCTCCCACACAGTAGCCCAGGGGCTGTTTCACAGAATAGGGTGATAACACGTCATCAGCAGTAGGGGTCACTGTGTACCACCACATTTACTTTTACATTTTCTTAACTTCCTCTAAGTGCACCTGTAGAATGAGTTTAATTTATTTGACAGCATTACACCAAACAGTGCTTGTATCAGAGTTATGTGTGATTATCAAAAGACAAATACTATCTTCTTTCTTTTCTTATTAATTCGGTTTAAATTGTTGATGGCATAAAAATGTATAACATAAGTTAAGCATATTTCTAGTAGGGTGGAATACAGCATAATTAAAGCCAATGGGTGTTTGATTGTAGACTGGGTTTTTAGATTTATTTATTTTTTGATAAGGAGGAGATTTTATTTCCCAAGCAATTTGGAAATCAACTCATCACAGGAAATGCAGGTGTAGGTACATTAAGCTCTGAGGCCCTATCTGTATAATCTGAGGTCCCTGGGTTGTAAACATATTCAAATTAAATGCGAAAACACAGAATTGCATAAAGCAGTCCATTAAAGTGAGTCTCTCGTATACTTCAAACAGACCTGAGTAGCTCCATACAAGCCTTAATTAGCTCAAGCAACATCAAGGGAGAGACAGCCCATAATATTAAGCCGTTTCCATGACTCACACTCATCCCAGCTGAATTCTCAGTTCAGCACCTCACAGTAGCACTATGCATCTAAGTGTGTGCATGTATGGCTTAATTGCTGCATGGATGTGTGCAGGTAAGCATGGTCGGGGTTCATCACGGGGTGTTTAACTTCTGAACAGATTGGTAAACTTCAGTGTGACTGATTCTGAAGTATCAAAACTCTGACAGCACAGTTTTATAACGTAGTGAATCTCATTTACAGAAAGGGAATAAGCAGCTTTATGAATGATGTAAGAGGACTCGCAGAAAGGAATAACAAAAGGATTGACTCAGAGGCTACTGGGAAGGTTTAGATCAATGGAGATGAATCGGGGTGTTGTGACTCACTCTATAATAGGGCAGAAGTCTCTGTATGTGGGCCTGTGTTTTTGTGTAGGTATGCAGCTTGTGTGTTTGTATGTGACTACGGTGCATGCAAAGTGAAGTTATGCCCCATGCATGTCTCATCGTTAATGCATGAAGATGGTGGTGTGTGTCTGTGTGAGTGTAGCTCATCTTTACAGTCCTGTGATCCTCAGTCGCTGCAGTAGAAGTCTCCTTGTGTGTGATTTTGTTTTCATTCAGTTTATTTCAGCACAATAATTTAGAATGGTGAACAGACAGTTTGATTGGAACTCCTGTAAGTGTCCCACATCAGGAGTTAATGGGCACCCAGCAGCCAATCAGAATTGGGCATTCATCCAGACCATGGTATAAAAAAACAATCCTCATGTTTGTGAAGCTAGAACCATTAAATGTTTGTTATTTGTGGTTGATAAATAACAATTGTATTTCAAACTGACCTAACACGGTTCCATTAATATGAGTATAAAATACCAGAATAAAAATCAATGTCCTGTAGCTTCGAACTAGTAGCTTGAGCTTGCTGATACATCACAGCTAATCAATCTCTTATTAGCCACCATACATTTTTTTCATTGTTGCTTATCTTCGCTTGAGAAAGAATTTGCCATTTTGACCATTTTTATACCTTAGTATTGTTATTCTTGGACCCTGGCGTCTAAGGTTTTAGAGGTGGGTGCAGAGGGGCATTGCATTAGCATGTTATTTTGTAAAAATTGAAATACATACTGTAGAATAGAGTGAATAAAGTTATTCCATTCATTAAAGTGGTAGCTGTTTGGCAGCTGAAGGCAAAACCTGCATGTCAGAGCATCTTTGAATGGACACAGAAGAAGAACCTTTAAAACTGCTCTTGTTAAATTTATTTTGGCACATATCAAAAGTGTTTGCAATTTGTAGCTAACAGGCTTAAACATGCATAACCACTGGTGTAACCCTCAAAGAACAAATAGGATCATGCGTTGCCCTTGGGAGAGAAATTCTTTTCATCTGTGCGGCATTGAGCTGAGCCACGTCTGGAGGAATTGTGATGATGTTTGCCATAAATAGTGAGCAGGCCAGCAGAGTAAATGCTGTCATCGTATAAGTGGAGACTTAATGAGAAACTAGGCCAAACAAGTAGGCTGGGACACAGTGAAGTGGAGCCATCCAGAACCAGGAGAAGATTCAAAATGGCCACTTCCACAACAAAAGCCTTTTGTCAAACACTTCTCTGCCCTCTCTCTGTCTCTCTTTCACACAGAAGTTCCATACATACGCACTCTTTTTCTCTTTTACATACACAAATTCACAATCACACCTTCCCTCTCTCCGTCTCTACTTGTGTCTTTATCACCAAAGCCCATACTTGCCCCTCTACTGTTTCTCCAGCCCTCTCGTTTGTCCTTCTGCTCTGACTGTCTCTTTCACTGCACCTTTATTTCTCACTCTCTCTTGCTCCTTTATCGTTTCCCTCTCTTACTATTCTATTTTTCAGGCTCATACTTTATCATCATTTTCCTATAGCACCCACTCTCTTCTTTTTTCTCTTCCTCTGTCTCCTCTTTTGCCCTCAGTTCCCTCTCTATTTGCTCTCTCTCTCTCCCCCTACATCCACCTCCCTCTCTTTTTCTTTGTCTCTCGCTCACTCCCTCTCCCTGCCGGTGTCCAGCAAGGTCGCTGGAATCTGCAGCCAAACAAAGACTCTTTGAGAAAAACGCAAAGCACTTTCCAACGAGCTGTGTAGTACATGGCTGTCCACCTCACTTGAGCAGATTTAAGTTTTGTTTACTTTGAGTTTTTGTTAGTGTTGTTTAGTTGTAGTTGTAGTTGATTTGTTATTTGAAATTTAATTAATTAAATTGAAGAAAAATAAAGCAAGAGAGAAAAATACATATTTGTGTATGAATACAAAATGATCAAACAAACAACAAACTCAAGATGACAAGCAAGGCATGCCTAAGCTGAATAACAGAAACTAGATGAGCTCAGCTGTTGAGGGAATTGTGGGGGAAAAAAAACATTTTGTCACGATGCTTACAACGTCTGAATCAGCCTCCATCAATAAAGATGCAATCCCTTTGTGGTGTCACCTTCACTTCACCTTAAATTTAATGGACTCTCTTACATTAGATATTCCAGTCCATTCAGGTGAATACCTTTTTAATAAGCAATGCCATAAAACTCACACAAATCCTCTGAAATCAGACTAAATGAGGCAGTGGAAACACTAATGCTTCTATCCACAGGGGGCGCCAGAATCAACACAAAATGAAAGTCCCTTGCAGCTGCTTTAATCCTCCTTGTTTCCAAAAGATTGGATTGTAATTTCAGACAGCAGTTGCTCTGTAAAATGACCACTGGCCTTTAAGTAACACTTGTGAAAATGAGTGCTGTTGTGCTGCATCATCACATTTTCACTCAGCACCTCCTAAAGTGACCTACTAGCTCGGACTGTGGCCAATGACTGCATGGCTGTATGGCTGCTTGTTGAGAGTGTGTCTCTCACTAACCACAGGGGACAATTCAAACACAGCAGGCGGAAGATTTACCTCTAGCAACTTTGCAAAAGGGCTGTAATTCCCGTTTGAGCGAAAGCCAAATAACACATGAAACTCTCCCTCAGGGTGGAAACCCCACAACAGCAGATGAAGAAGAGCATCAAACTAGTGCAGTGCCCCAGTATCTAGGCCAGTACTGGGGGCTGGGTAGTGAGCGTTACATGGTCTGGTGGCTCCATAGCTTTTACAACCCCAACAATGGCCTGCATTCAGCATGACTGCAGTTGCGAGGCTGGGACAGTTGCTTTTCAGCCCCTCCCTGCTTTCACACTGCTGGAACTGGACCTCTATTATCTTATCTCTCAGTAAGAAAATAATCATTGTAGTAATTGCTATAATTTAAACAATTGACCAAGGCTTTATTCAAAACATTATTCATATATTTGAACATGGAAATGATGTGGTATTTTAGTCATTTTTTGTGCCAGGCTGACCTCAGTGACCTGTATTCAAAATCTCATGAGAACAGATAGATGACAACATAGCAGCTTGTTTTTGTATGTATGTGGGACAATAAATTGGACTGCAGGAATAGTATAGGGCCAAACCATCATATCCTGACACACACTGTGCTTTATTTCCTCTGGATATCAAAACTCATATTTTGAAAATAACTGTGTTTCTCAGCAGTCAGTGACATTACCAGTGGCAATCACACACATCCTGAAATGCAAAGAGGTCACAGCAGAAGCTAGTAGCCACCATTTCAGCCACTGTTTCATTTCATAAAGCCAATATTTTACTCACTTCTTCCATTCCATTCAGCCACTTTTTATACCATATGTCCACTTTTTATTCACTATACAGTCCCATCAACTGCTATATTCAATATAGCCCTTGTTATATATAAAGGTGTCTAAATCAAGTCACCTTTTTATTCAGTTGAGGTTTTATTCAATTGAACTGCAACTCCAACTAGCATATCTGTTATTTTATCTACCATTTTATTTGTTCTCTCAGAGCTTGCCAGGTCACAGTCTGAACCTGGTTTCCAAGAGCTGCATTGTGTCCTATAAAGAATTTAACTAGACGTTGAATACTTAAGCTTTCTGACTGCAGGGGCTTTGCTCTAGGCATGACAGCCCAGTGCTAGTTTGCTCTGATTTTGCTTCCCTCATAAGGACACTGTGTAACTTGCTGTCTATTCCACCTACGGACTGGCTGCATTGGTTTGATGGGAGACAACAAACCATTAATTTCACAGTAAACAGTCCAGGAATGATATGAATACTAAACTACCAAACAGCTTGGAGGACTCACCTGTGCAAACAGCCACAGAAGGTCACTGAAATACAGTTGTATTTTAAAAAGTTTAGAAGGGCCAAAATACAAAAAATGTCCACTAAAGTATATGTAATTTCTGTTTTTAAACATC